GGGCTGTTAAAAGTGGATATTTATGAAAATACACACAAAATAATGTAGAAGATTTCATCTAGTCCAACTCCTGATGTCCCATCTTGTGTGACATGGCTATTTTTGGCTGGTTGCACTGCCAAAGAACCCAGGAGTTCTACTCACAGCCCACAACAACATAAAGTCAGGTTCTATCAGGATACTTGCTAATAAATACAATTAAACTATTCCCAAACCTCAGCAAGTTGTGATCCCCATGGCCAGATAATGGGTTCTGGGTTTGCACTCTCTAAATGGATACACAGGAATTAAATATCTACTGCACCATAATTCTTCTTCAAGTGGAGAAGAGAGTAAAACAGAACAGTCATTTTATTAGCCCACTCCAAACAAATTCCATATCAAACTGGAATCTGCTCTGTTCCTTCCCCATTCCTGGCAGTGTTCAAGTCCAGGCTGGATGGGGCTTTGAGCAGCCTGGTTCAGTGGAAGCTGTCCCTGCCCATGGCAGGGGGATTGGGACTAGATGATGTTTCAAAGATCCTTTCCAACCCAAATCTTTCTGTGACTCTATGATCCCTGCCCTGCCTAACTACCCCTCAGCCTGCTGTGGTGGTTTTCCTCACGGTCTGCCAAGTATGAGCCCTTCACCCTCAAAAATGCACCCATCAAACATCCACACAACACGAGGACAGCTCTAAAATGAGAGTAAAAGGGAAGAGTCGCTTCCCATCACTTGTAACCCTCACAGATGGAGAACATGCCCAAGAGCTGTCCCTGCCCATGGCAGGGGGTTGGAATGAGATGATCTTTAATGTCCCTTCCAACCCAAACTAGTCTGTGACCTCGCATCAGTCCTGCTGTGAGTAGTAAAGTAGCAGTTCTTCATGCCCAGAGTGTCCTGGGCCTCCAGGGACCCTTCCATGCCCCCAAAAGCTGCCTGGGTTTTGCCACCTTTGTAAGCCACCAAATATCTCCACCAGTCAAAACCATTTCATTGCTTTCCTCACCTCCAAATACTTTGGATGGTAAGCAGGGAGAAAAAGGCTAAAGAAGGAAGGAAAGGAATGATTCTAAGATCTGCAGAGGAATCCAAGGGATTTGGAGATCTAGTCCTGTTTATATTAAGTGGAAGCTGAACAGAAAGGATTTCTGAGGTGACTGTACACATATCAGACACAGATTTATGGGGGGTTATATTTTTTTCTTTCACGAGAAGTGAACAAAGCAATTATCCCTGTATCAGTCACCAAGCTAAGAACTCACAGATCCTCAATATTCTAAGCCACCCCTTAAATCTCAAGACCTGTTAAAAACAAACTCAAGGCAGCACAGCACACCCAGGCAGAGCCATAATCCAGCACGGCATTTTTATCTGGCAAGTTATTTTTTTTAACCTCCTACCCCTCAACAGGGACCCCTTGAGGGTTGGGCTGCAGGGAATTCACTGGGATACCAGTTCAGCTTCCCTAGGGTTGAATTAATACGTGGCATCGGCCCTCTGCCAAATATTCCATCAGCCGTGTGGGCCAGCAGAGGAGGGGGAGTGGGAGCACGGAAGAGCTGCTCCAGCAGCATGTTTGCATCATGATTAGGTCTGGTCCAGCGATCTGGAATAATAATGGGAAGACTCACTAAGCATAATGTGTTCAGAGCCATCCCAGCCTGGTCAAACCCTCCCACGAGCATCCTCTTCTTGTGTTTTTGGGGTGTTTTGCACATCTCATCAGTGTCACCAGAGCTGACGTCTCATTATGCAGCCAAGGTGGAAGTGGACAGGTACTGAGTGAGCATTAGAACTTTTCTTTTCCCTTTTATTATTTAATTCATGTCTTCCCATTATCCAGTGCATTCTTGAAGCTGTGAACTAATTAAGTCCTGTGGGATATACAATCAGTGCTAGGGGTTTTTTTGCCCTCCCTCTCTTTTCAGTAGGCTAAATTGCATTATATACTGAAATAAAAATAATTGTGCAACTATTCCTAGATAATAACAGAGCAAGTAACAAACACTAATGATGCTGAATGCAACAGTGGGGCAGAGGCCTGCTGCTTATTTCTTGTGACCTAATTAAGTCGTACAGGGAAAAATACTTCAAACACAAAGTGAGGCAAGAGCTTAAATCAGTTTCTAATGAAAATCATAAAAATTATTCTCTGGGGAGTTGGTGGGACACAGGCCAAACATCATGAAATATCCAAATTGAACTGAAATTTCATGAAGTCTGCTGTGAAAATCACAGATCTCCAGGTAGCCCCTTGAAAAGCCATGAAATTCTGGGAGTCCTCTAGATTCAGATCTGAGCCCATCCCTGACTGTAACCATGCACCCAGTGTTTCTGGAGTTTTTCCAACATTTAAGATTCTGTGTTTCATGCAAGCAACAGCTCAGAGACCAGAGTTGAAAGGACAAAAATTGAGTGATGGATTTTGCAGCACCTACCAGAAAATGCAGTTGTTTAAATAATACAACTGGTGAAAAAATACCCTAAAAACTGTGTCATAAAATAATGGGCATATCATAGAATATTCTGAGTTTCTAGAAACCCACAAGGATCATCAAGGGCAGCTCCTGGCTCTGCAGAGAACAGCCCTAAGAACCCTAATCTGTGCCTAAGAATGTTGTCCAAATGTTGCTTGAACTGTGGCAGGTTTGGTGATGTCACCATTTGTATTCTCAGGCTCAAGTTCCCAGAACCAATATTTTACATTTTATTTATTTATTATTCTCTGCTCTCAAGCAAGGCTGTTCTCTCTTGTTGCCAGTGCCCATTCATTCTGTGCCATAAGCCTCTGTCAGCCTTTCTACATTTTCACTTCCAATGCCATCCTGGAGCTAATTCTGCTCTACCATCATCACCAAATCACCTCTGAGCCAACCCTCCCACAGCACCCAGCTGGGCTGAGTTCTTGGCCTGAGCACCACTGAGCAGTGTAGCTGTGCTGAGAACAGGATCATCATGCCCCTTTTTTATGGAATGCTTTGAGATCCTTGCATGAGCATGCAAGAGAAGTGCCAGATGTTATTATAAAGAGATGCAGCCCCATTACTTGTACACAGAGTTGTGCTGCCTGCTAATAGCACCATTATCCTAAGGCACGTGGTGCTATTAATGCATTTCACTGCTTAGTGCTGAACCTGGGGACCATTTTTTCCACGGGAAAGGTAAGGCCAGTTCACATGACATGATTTAAACCACCACAGTGAAGCATGCATGCGCCGCACCAGGTCGTAAATCTTAACGGGATGCTGTCAGCCAGAAAGGGACCAAAATTGAAGCCATTTATCTGAACTCCCCACCCATCCACCTCTGCTCACCCAAGCCAGTTTTGGGAAGAGGGATAAAATGATTCTGAATGCCCACTGGGTTCATTAAGCAGCAGCAAATCCCAGATCTAAAGTGCTGCTGTTTTCATCCTGCTCTGAATGAATTTGTTCATTCAGGACACTTGGACTTCCCTGGTTTTCCCTACTCTGGGCAGAAAAACCGCAGCAGGAGAAAACCTCACAGCTTCCTCCTCTTCTTGCTCCCACCTGAGTCACAAGACAAGCTGTCATCCTGCCTTACTGAGGCTGCAGGAGCTGTGCCACACCCCAGATCACAGACAGCAGAGGGGAATATCCCTCTGTGCTGCATCCAAGGGTCTGGGACTCTAGAGATGCCCTTATCCCATTTGGAAATGAAAATAGGAATGTAAGGAGGAGTCACCATTTGGTCTCATGCTTGCCTGGGCACTTCCCTTCACTCCTGCAGTCACCAACAATCAGTTTTTGAGGGTTGTATTTCTCCTTAGCTAACATAACTAACCATAACTAAACAAGGCTGATGAGCAAATGAACCTTAATAGGTAAATTCTACATCTGACATTCCTTCACAGACCAAGTACAGGCTTAACAGAAGCAAGGAATTATAATTTGGCATACTCCATTGCAATACTAATATTCATGTAAAGTAGATTTGCAAGTATTCAGAGACTCCTAAATATAGAATAGATCAGATATATAAAACCAAATACAGAATTCAACACTAGAAATGTGCCAAAATTACTCTGCCAGGACAATGCAGCTCCTTTTTGGGATGGCAAAGTAAATGTAAAGTCCTTAAACACAGGAAATCTTTTTGCAGATAGAGTTTAAAATTAATATGGTAGCTTTAACTTTGATGCTGAGCAAATTAACTTCATTTTCCTAAACTGTGCTAAAAGACTGTGTGAAAAGTTTACTTAAAAGATTAAAAATAGCATTTGGTTTTTATCCTGAGTCAGGTGTGTAACTATCCCCACTCACACGTTCCCGTATTCAGGACGTCTCCACCACATCTCAGGAGCTGCTCCATTAGGAAAGGAGAATGAAAAAGGAATAACTGGTGTTCAACAAATATCCAACCCCTCTAAATTTCTTCTTACAGGTGGACAAACACCTCCTCTACAAAACTGTGAGGACTCTAACAGGACATTTCAGGTTAGCAATGACATTTTACGTATCAAGTCTTAAAATTTATGCTGGTTCAGGATTACAGCTTTTTTTTTAACTCTTTTTGTCTTCTTTTCTTGCAATACCCACAGATAGCACTGGGAAGACTGTCCCATTTTCCTTCAGCTACTGAAAAGCAGCAAAAATCAAATATAACCAGGGCTGCACTAAATGCTAAGTCTCTGCCAGAGAGCTGAAACTGTACCTCATGGCTAAGATTCCTGCTCAACAGAAAATAACACTTTTATAAGAAAATTGAATTTATATTAAAAAAAAAAAAAGAGAGAGTGTTAAAAAATACATAGATTGCTCAGAAAATAAGGTAAAGCTCATTTATGTCTCATAAAATCCATGATTAGCCATAGTTAACCATTAATTCAGCTGTGCTGCATTAGAACTGCTATTCAAAGTTGGAAAGCATTTAATATTATATATTGCTGCTGCTCAGCCTAAATTGTTTTTTTTCTTGCCCCCCTTTAAATGTACACAATATTACAAATTTAATTTTAAGCTGTTTGAATCAGTCTGTAAAAAAGATTTGATTATACCTGAGTGTTCTGGCCCCAGTTTTTCCATATCTCAGTAATCTTGGCAGTAATTGGCTGATTAGCTCCCTCACACTCCATCTCTGCCTCAGTTTCCATGGTAATGTTACAGGAGCTATTATAGATGAGAACTTCATCTCTTTCCACTTTAGGGCTGAAACGAGAAGGGAGGTTAAATGGGGTGTCATCAATCTTAATGAAATGCAATTATTTTTACTCTTATTAATCATTGAAAGCCATTAGCTTGTGGCAACTCCTGGCCACCATTTGTCAAACTTTGCAAATTTCGGTAATTTTGTTTCCATTCTTTTATTGTTTATTTGTTTTTCCCCCCTTTATCTGCACACACTCAGGATGAAAACACATGCAGTAAATATCTCTCAGTGATGCTTTTCTCCTTCCCCAAACCATCACAAACGACTGCCGGTCTAGACCAAGGCAGGCAGATAAGTGCAGACAACAGGGAGGGAATCAGCAGCGTTGGGAGCAAAGATGGACTCCTACAAGGAGTAGGGTTGGTTTGTGTCTCCCCCCTCCCCATCTTACTCACACTTAGCAATGGGGAATGAATAACTTGCAACTCCCCTAGGGCAAGGGGAGAAATTGGAAAAACCACACAACTGGCTAACTGGTCCCTAATTCCAACTGTGAAAAAATGAGCTCATTTAGGGGTTCCAATTCCTGCTACCCAGCTGATTGCAATGATGCTTTGTTGCTAACATTGGAACATTAACTTAGTAAATTAATTAAACTTACTTAACAGCCCAGACTAAGCAGATTCGATATATGTGCCAGTTATACCAGCAGACATTTGCTCTAAAGCCTCCCCTTGCACAGGGGGAAGAAGAAATAGAAAACATGGTGGGAGAGAAACATTTTTTTTCCTTGGTTTTGCTGCTGACAGCTGCTGATTTTGGTAGTGTTTCATTGTGGAGAGCTATAGGATTCAACATATAGTTTAGTGGTGAGCAAAGTGTGGTGCAGGGTTAATGGCTGGACTTGATGATCCCAGAGGTCTTTTCCAACCTAATTCTGTGACCCTTGGCCATTGCTACTTCTTCCTCTCCTCCCCACCCCACCATCAGATTCACACAGGCAAGTTGTAGGAAGCTGAGGAGAAAGGAGGGGAGTTACAGCAAGACCAACACAACAACCAGCAATACAGGAATTACTGTAATTACTGTAATTAAAGCCAAAAATGGCTTTTCTGAATAGCTAAGAAAGGACAGAGTTCACAGTGTGAACTCAACAAAACAGAGGATTAAGATTTTAAGAGACCTTCGGGTTCCTGAAAATCCCATATAACAGGGTTTTCTGGGATTACAACCATGGAATGGTTTGGACTGGAAGGACCTGAAAGACCATCGAGTTCCATCTCCCTGCCATGGGCAGGGACACCTTCCACCTTCCATCTCCCATCCAGCCAGGTCTTGGACACTTCCAGGGATCCAGGGACAGCCACAGCTTCTCTGGGCACCCTGTGCCAGGGCCTCACCACCCTCAAAGGGAAGAATTCCTTCCTAATAACTCTCAAAAATCTACTTTCTGTCAGTTTGAAGCCATTCCCCTGTTGCTCCAGGCCCTTGTCCAAAGTCCCTCTCCAAATCTCATGGAGTCCCTTTAGGCATTGAAAGGTGTTCTAAGTTCTCCCTGCAGCTTCCTCTTCTCCAGGCTGAGCAATCCAAGTTTTCCCAGCCTTTCCTCACAGCAGAACTGCTCCACCCCTCTGATCATCATCCTGCTTCCTCTGGGCTCCCTCCATCATCTCCAAATCCTTCCTGTGCTGGGAACCCCAAAGCTGGACACTGTTCCAGGTGGGTTTCATGAGAGAGGAGTAGAGGGGGTGAAGCACCTCCTTTGCCCAAAGCTCTCCCAAAACTGACCCAGTTGGAAAGCCAGGACTCAGAGCTTTGTTGGGAAGGTGATGATCAGAGTGGTTTGATGACCCTGGAGATTTAAAACTTCCCTGCTGGATGCAGCAGCTCACTCTGCAAACAAAGCCTTGCTCTGACCTGCATTTAGGGGCTGTTTGTTTTGTTACACTTATTCAGGGTTAAAGTGGTAAAGGAATCAGCCACATTAGAAACCACAACAATACTAAAATAAAAACCAAAAATACCAAAACAAAAAAAAAAAAAAACAAAAAAAAAAAAAAAAAAAAAAAAAAAAACAACCTTTGAACCCTTTTAACAGCAAATTTTTGTTTTTATTTTTATGTTTAAATAAACTTTTCCCTCTGTTGTATCAATAATCAAAAGCCAGCCTTGGGGAGCTGTGCTTGCTTTTGATAGCAACACTTTGAGAATTGATCTTGTCCTATACAATAATTCAGTGGACTGGGCTATCTTTCAAGACTACAAAGTACTTTTTAAAGCTCCAAGAAAAAACAGCATATTTTAAATAACCAACAGTTTTAAAGGCAGAAGAGGGTGGCGATCAGCTGGATGCAGGGCATGGACACAATTTCCCAAACATTCAAGTCAATACAAGGACCTTTGAGTGGTTTTCACAGGTTTTTTGCAAAACATAAATACACTTTGCTTGTAAGAAGAACCAGTTCCTTTCTGTCCTCATGCAAGCACATTCTGAAACACTCTTAACAAATTGCAGTGTTTAAAGGAAATGCAAGAAAAGGAGTGAATTTTTAAATGGAATTCAGGAATGTACCTTGATACAAGTGTTGTTAATGGCAAAACTTAAAACTCTTTTAAGGAACATGCTTTTGCTATTATGAGCTGATAAAGGATGGGCTGTGGTACAGACTACATAAAGAAAATATTTATTTAAACCATTGAAAAACATCGTTTAAGTGGCTGCCCCAATCCTGGAAGTGTCCAAGGCCAGGTTGGATGGGGCTTGGAGCAAGCTGGGATGGTGGAAGGTGTCCCTGCCCATGACAGGATGAAATAAGATGAGATTTAAGGTCCTTTCAAACCCAAACTATTCTGTGATGCTATAAAATTAGTAAGAAAAACAGGAGAAATTCAATGTGCACTTAAGCCAGGAATTACTTCAGTGGTTTTGTCCCCATCCTGGGACAAATGTCTTCATCTTGAGCATTTGCACAGAACTAAAATTCATATATATTTATTATTATTTACTATTATTAATTAAAACAATCAATATGTATTATTTCAGGAATCCTCAAAGTAGTTCTTTTCTGTGGAAGCATTTAAATTTTCTAAGATTTTCCTAAAAATTCCATTAATACTTTAAAATTAAATATTTTTCTGAACTGAAATGTGGAAAACAGTTTTCAGAAATTCTGAAATAAGTTAATGTGTATGATGCAAACCTCTCAATTTTTTCTTTCTGTTTCTTTTAAGATTTCTCAAATCAGGAAACTTTTTAAAACAAAAAACCTTTGCCCCTACTTCCCTTTAGCAAGAAATAAACTTCCTTTTAAATGAGAAATAAACTCACTAGAAAAAAATATGAGCCCAAGTTTTAATTTCCAACTAAAAGATAAGCATGACCACAATAGGGTGAAAAGTTAACACAATAAGAAAGAGGCTGAAGAAGTGGGAAAAATAGAAAAATAGTAGGTAAAAAAAGTTGATTGATGTGATTCAGAAATCTCTCCCTGATAGGATTTCCAGGAGAAATAAACCCTATCTCTGAAGCATTCACAGTGAAATTAGACTAAAAACCACAGTGAAAACAATAAGCAAACAGTCAGTAAAAGGACTTTGTGACTTTCTGCACAGTGGCAGCCCAAACTAAGAAAAGGAGAAAGGAAAAAAGTGATCATATGATACTATTATTATTATTTATTTATTATTTATTATAATTATAACATTGAAGATGCATTTTTTTATCAAAGAAGAGCCGATCACAATTTTGATATCCAGGGAAAAAGAAGCAAAAAAGAAACACATATGAAGTTGTCCTGTGCCTCTCAAGTTTGTTGATTCTCTGGATTGGCGTTACACTGATGTGAGGAAAAGCAAAGCAAAGTTCAGCCAGACAAGGCAAGGCTCTGGAGTTTCTTGATTTGAAACAAGTCATTCTGGGAGCAGTAAAACTGATTCAATTATTTCAATTTCTTTTTTTTTTCCCCCCCTTCTAAGTCTCCTTTTGTTTTCTTCAAAATATCTGTCCTCCCATCTCCTGGGGTGTTACAGGATATTACCAAAGCACGGGGTGCTTTGGACAGTTGTACAGATCAGGGCAGAATTCTGCCCTCTGTCTACTCAGTAGGAAAATAATTTCTTTCTGCCTAACACTGATTTTATCAAAACTGGGAAGAATTTTCTTGAAGTCCAGGCCTGATGAAATCTAGACCAAATTTAAAAATCTGGTAAGGAAGTGACAGACCCACAGAGAGGCTGTTTCAACTGTGTAAACTTTTTTTTTTTTTTGTTAATTAATTTTAGCTGGAAACTTCTATTTTTATATTTTTAAACAAGTTTAAAAATTTGTGGAATTCATGTCTTTCTATCTTTGTACAGTAAATGCCAGTTGGGTTTTTTTCCTCCCCTCAATTCAGGGTATCCAGAGCTCCCTCTGGTGAATCAACCCCAGGTATAATGCAAGATCAGGTCAGGATGAGGAACAAATCTCTGCAACTTCACTGAAATGCCTAGACCGTGGCAAGATGCAGCAGCCAGAAGTTTGTTCACCAGGTACAGCAGGTCATGGGCAGTGAATTACAATGCTGTCCTAATTCTGTATTTAACTAAATAACATCTGGCAAGTTTTGTTCAACTTGTTCCAGTATCTAAAGGGGAGTTACAAGAAGCCTGGAGAGGAACTTTTCACAAGGGCATGGAGTGATAGGACAGGGGGGAGTGGCTCCAAATTGAAGGAGGGGAGATTTAGATTAGAGATTAGGTGGAAATTCCACCCTGTGAGGGTGGGGAGGCCCTGGCACAGGTTTCCCAGAGAAGCTGTGGCTGCCTCTGGATCCCTGGAAGTGTCCAAGGCCAAGTTGGATGGGGCTTGGAGCAACCTGGGATAGTGGAAGGTGTCCCTGCCCATGGGGTTGGAACAATATAACCTTTGAGGTCCCTTGCAAACCAAATCTTTAATAATTCACCTATTTATTCCTTAACTCAGACATCCCACTTATCCCTAGAAGTGCTCTGCAGGAATAAATCCTCACTGCTCCATCAAAGACAACAGTTCCAAGTTATACTCCTGGACAGCTCAGCCCCAGATGTGCAAAGCACAAGCACCCTTGCACACCCTGCTGAATTTACTCCTTCACTTTTTACTCATGAAAGTGCTTGGAGAAAGGGAAAAAAAGGAAAAAAACAACAGAAAAAAAGAAGACTTCTGCTTTTCATAATGCCTAATCTTTTTTCCCATTGGCATCCACCAGATGTTGCTTTGGATCAGAAGATAAATATTAAAACCTAAGAAGGAACAAAGCAGGCTGTTTACGAGATGGATTTTCTGATGTCTCTCAGACACTTTAAAAAGGCAGGAGGGAAGGAGGGGGAAGTGAAGATGCTTTGATAGGCACAGAGAATGAATTCCACTACCCAGCAGAGCTCTCTAGTGGTCTCAAGGCTAAACAGCTCTATCGCCATCAACGTGAGAATTAGGAATTTGTTCCTTCAGTCCATCATTTGGAACAACTCTGCAAAAGGTGGAAAACCTTGGGGGAGATGTAATTTTTGGATGGACGCACTGGGCTGATGGAGAGACACGGTACTAACCTGGCAAGGAGTCCATCAAAATGCCCCTGGAGCTGGGTGTCCCCACAGATGTAGAAGTAGGACACAGACCCTCTCTGCTGGGAGGAGCCCACCAGGACTCGGATGTCACACTCAATGAAGGTGGCTCTGTCCTCTTGGCAGTTGGCAGAAGAATGTGTCAGACCACAGAGAACGGCCAAAGAGGCTGCAAGACAGAGAGGAAAAAATAACCCAAAGCAGCCTAAACACCACTGACATTGAGCACATTTTAGCTACTGAGAGGCGTCATTGCAGGAGGTGTCCCTACCCATGGAACTAAAGTAACTTTAATGTCCTTTCCAACCCAAGCCATTCCATGATTCTTTGGCTCCTGATGTGCACCCAGGCTCTCTTTAGCTGCATCCTTTTCAAGGATAATTAGGTCTCCATGCAGCTCCTTCAGCCCCATTTGCTTTGTGTGAGCAAAATGTAATCTCCTTTGTGCCCTGAGCACCAGGATGGTCTTTGAGATCGAAGTGCTCTGTCCAGAAGGAGATGACATAAAGCATTAAATACAAGCATGGACTTTTCTTCTAGGAGAGCTAGAATATGGTTTACAGTTCAGAAATATGGCATAAATCTTTTACCAAGGAGATGTGACAATTTAACATATATCACAAGTTTGAAACCCAGAAACAGTTTTTGAGGACACTTTAACACAGCTTGGAGGGCTCCTGGGGAACTGCTGGGAACTGGGATCTCCCACCTTGCTTTATAGCTGAATATGACTTGAAATGTGGTCCAAGTCTGCCTCCGTGGATGAGGTAAAAATTGTAATGGGAGCAGCTGTTTTGAGGTTTATTTAAAGAACAAGTGGTGTGAACATCTGGAAGAAGTTTTTTTTCCAAGGAAAGGGTTGTTCAGCACTGGAATGCAATGCCCTGGGGGGTGGTGGAGTCACTAACCCTGGTGGTGTCCAAGGAAGGTCTGGATGTGGCACTCAGTGCTCTGATCTGGGTGACAAGGTGGGGATCAGTCACAGGTTAGACTCAATGATCTTGGAGGGTTTTTTTCCAACCTAAGTGATTCAGTGGGATTCTGTGAGAAGAAATTAGATTTTCTTATTCTAAATCCAGACAAAAAAATGTTTTAAAAAAAAAGTGTTATGAACTGTCACTGAAGTGCAGATTCAGTTGAAATATTTGGGTTTAACAATTTTAGAAAGGAGTCCTTTAAGCATTAAGCCATGACAGACATTAAATCTGTTTCTCTCAAAGCTCTGACTTTTGGAGAATATTCATTAATCCTGAACTAACCAAATAGTTGTAATGAACTCCTGAAAAGGTCTGTGAACAGTATAACAGACTGCACTGTAGCATCTAAGACTATTCCTTAAGCATCAGAAAGCTAATCAATGGGAATTTATCAAGAAAGGGGTTTTTTCTATTTGATTTTGTAAATTCCAATTTGTTCAAAAGGCATCTTGTTTGCTGGGGAACTGTCATTGTCAATGAATGTCTTGTCTCCTAAGCAATCCTAAAAATGGAATTTGAAATTGCAAAAATATGAAAGCATTCTATTTCCTGTATTAAAATATTAAGCACATTTTGCTGAAGATTACTATTTCATATGGGGTATTTCTGAAGAGTTTATAACTCTTTAATGTTTCAGGTATTTTTGAAATATTAAAAGCTATCAGTTCATCTCCTCTGAACTTCAGAGAGAGAGCTTACAATTCTCTATTTTTCTTCTCTGGATTTGCACTGATAAAATAAAGTTACCCACATGCTCACAAATTTCTCTCTATTCTTAATTCCTTTCCTTCCCAAAATCCAGGGGCAATTTTCTTGCTTGGTATCCAAACAAAGCCAAACACAATTCCTGCCTTGAAGACCTACATCTAAGACAAGTAATAGGCAGAGAAGCCTAAAAGAACAATAGCTAGATTTTACTTTTATTGTCCAAAAATTCTATCTAGTGCTACTTCAGGTATTCTATGTCTACAACAAAAGCCATATGTCTTTCCTGATGTTCCAAGGGCATCTTAAGCAGCACTAAATATCTGTGTTTTGACAAATAAATAGCATCCAAGAGGACTAAATGCTGCAAAAGTCTTGCATTTGCAACAACCTGGAGTAGAACCAATTCATTGCAGGAAAGCTTTGGTTTTCTTTTGTGGTCTTGAAAAGAGCGTGGCAGAGTTTTCCTATGTGGAAAACCACTTGAACTCTGTTTTGGGACGAATGTAGGAAATTACTCACAGAATGTCAGGACTGTTTTCCTTAACATTTTGCTGCTGTCAACAAACTTGCCTGGCTCATGTAGGTCACCAGAAGGTGTTTCCTACACAGCCCAGAGAGCTCAGCACCAGAACAGTCTGGCACTTCTTAAACAACCCCAAAATGTGGAAATTGGGCATTTCTGCTGTGCTCCAGTGCCCTGATCCCAAAGTTGTCATGCTTGTAGGAACAGGAGGCCTTGTATCCTAATAATGGCTGAAATAGTTTTTAACTCAAACCAGGCAAACAAAGGTATTAATTTATAAAATCTAAGTTTTAGAATATGGCTACAAAGGATTGCAAAGAGATCAGAGGAAGCAAAATCCAAGCAAACCCTACTTCATCTGTACACCCCAGAATCAAACTTAGAATTGTTTTCCCTCTCTCAGGTGGAAAGAAGGGAAAATCTCACCTCCCCACCCCACATCTCTTGTCCATCAGATGGAGATATCACTTTTAGAGGTGATGTTCTTTTCCCGTTCCTTCCTTGAGGCTTTCCAAGGTCCTCCTATTTCCCTCTTTTCAAAGGTTTTAATGTCTTTATTCATTTAGGAGGAAGTCTTGGCCTTTCCCTTCCCATTCCTCTGACCATGAAACACAAATAGCCCTTGGTATTGTTGGTGCCATTTTCTCCTACCAAACAGCGGCAAAAAATATCAACTAAAGATTTCAACACACTTTTGGCACATCCTAAAAGGATATTCTGCCTGTTCTGGGACACAATTCTTCTCCCTGCTTAATTGGTTAGTGTTCAAACCCTAGAATGAAGCTGCTTTAGGCTTTATACTCCCTATAAAGATCAAACCTGCAATCCCATTGCTGGGATGAATGCTCTCAGCTCATTACAGCTTCTCTTTTGAGATCAGACACGACGGCAGCCAAATCTTTGTGTGGTGGTAATGGCTTAGGGACTGACTACCCCCAGCCCTGGCTTTGAGGGATCCTCTGGTTTAATCCAGGATCCTGGGATGCTCAGCACAAGGGCTTTGTTCTGGGTCACTGTTTAATAACAACTGCTGGACTTGTGATGAGGCTCAAACCTACAAGAGGCTCCAAGGGCAGCTGGGGATTGATTGAAGAGCTGCCCAAAGAGTCCCAGTGCCAAAACACACATCCCTGGTCATCCACCCCTCACAAAATGGACTGTGGAGCAGCAACATGTGCTTAGAAGGGAAGACAAAGAATTTTTTTAAAAAGTTAATAAAAGGGAGAGAAGAAAGAGACCTGTTAAGGTCATTGAGTCCAACCTTTGCCTGTGAAGAATTGCTCCCTGTGAGACATTAATTTCACAGAGACAGGTTTCAGAAGTCCCAAGAGGTAGCTTTCAAGCATCTATTCCACTGCCTGATAGATCTCACTGTCAGAACATTCCTGCCATGTAATTAATATGCTTTATTTTCCCCTCTTAGCTTCATTTCTGGATTTGAAAGGTAGAAGGGACCATTTGGATCCTTTGGTTTGATCTTCACAATAAACACCAGAGGCCCTGGTTTCACTGAGGTCCCAGTTGCCACAACACCACAACAAACCTTCTCCATATCTTCTGCATCTGCTCATACAAATCCCTGAATTTCCCTCACTCTAGTGCTTATTGTCCTGGCTCAGAGCATCTCCTTGTTACAACCAAAACTCATTCCTCTCTCTCCTCTTGCCCCATTCAAAGAGCTCCACCGAACCACTTCCTTTTAAACCAGTCTCATACCTAGCCTCTAGTCTAAATCCTTCTCCCTAAACATCCACTCTTAACAGTGGAGTCTGGTTAATGGCAGATCCAGAACCCTCCAACAAAGATCCCAAGAACTGTTACATCAAAACCCTGAAGTCAAACCTGTTTTTCCAAGCATGTTGATGCCACCAGGAAAATCAGGCTCAGCTTTTACCCTGATGCATCCTCTTATCCATTCACCTCCTTTTAAAGGTGCCTTCCTTACCTTCACCTTAATGTAAAACATAAAATGTCAGGGACTGAGTTACTGGAAAAATTATATATGGTATTTACCCTAATATCACCTTAGAAGAATAATCAGTTATTTTCTCAGCTGTCTCAAACTTCCTTCCAGTTTGCTCATCTTTCACAGGAGCACAACTCAGTCCCACAGACATTAACCATGTGTTCTGTAAATTTAACCTGAGTTGAGCAGAATCTACAACTGCATTTTTGCTCATTCAGTGGCATGAGCAACAAAGCAAGAACCAGAGAAGGGGAGAGCTTTCACGATTATGGAATAATTTTCGTTGTAAAAGCCCTCTAAGACTGATCCAAACCATTCTCCCAGCACTGCCAAACCCACCACCAAATCATGTCCCCAAGTGCTACATCTACATGGCTCTTGAACCCTTCCAGGCATGGTAATCAAGAGAGTTATATCTTTACTTTTAAAGACTCATGGGTTAATTTGTGCATTTTTCTTTTGGTTTTGTTTTTCCTTGAAGGCAGTGAGGTTTTGTTAATTTTATTTAATTTTGTTAAATTTTTTTAAGCTTTAAGGCTGAAAATCAAATTTTAGCTTTGTTCTGAATTGATTTTCCTGCATCTTGCGAAAGACAAGGTTTTTTTATAAAAGAGTCTGGTCTCGCATTCCCATTCCTTGTGCTTTGGGTTGAGGATATCTCAGTAACATGCCCAGCTCTTGCCAGTAATCAAACCAAAACCTCACTGTGACCCCGCTCAGCACCAGTTCCTAAGGAAAGCCCCATGAGGAAGGCTTATGGATGGATCCTGCTGAGCCTGGCAATTCCTCATCTCTTAGAAAACTTCCTGCTCAAAGGGAAAGAAGGAAAGAAGTCACATTTCCTACCTGCAGAGCCTTGCCCTGTGGACTGGATCACATGAGAGAGCCACATGGACCAGCTGGGGATTCCCACGTGGACATCTCTAATCTCAAGCAAGCCAGACACAACATGACCCAGCACTGAGAGCCAGGGCAGCCATTGCCACCTGACATCCCTCAGTGCCAGAGGAGAGAGGGTTCTGCTTCACAGCCCTCAGTAACAGAAGAAATGCAGCTTAAACTCCTCACGTCAGCCAGTTCGGTGAGCAGAGCAGGGAAAGGACAGACAAATATCCAAATTGGACACAACACTGAGGGGCTCTGGAGCACCACAGACCTCCCTTTCCCATTCCTTCACAGTCCTGGAGTCTCTTTGCCACCTCTCCCATGTGGACGAGGCAGTGCAAGAAAGGTCTGAGCACTGGATGTGCCAGCACCAAGTGGCAAAATTCCCCAGGCAAACAGCACAATGTAAACCATGAGGTAAGACTGGAGTTACTTCACTTAAACCACTCTACACATGGTGAGGGGCAGGGTTAAAACCTCAAAGATATTAAAAAAAAAAAAAAAAAAGTCCTTAAATATTAAGCATTAGGTGGAAGAGTATCTGGAAAGCATCTTGCTCTCTATACAGATTTACCCATGCCAGATGTAGATATGCACAAGCTGAATACAAGTGTTTCAGGGAGTACAAAGAGCCTGACAAACACAGATTTGAGCAGCCTGAAAAAGGATTTTTACTTTCTTAAGAAAAGAAAAATTATATATATTTGTTTGTAAATATTTAATTAACAAATATTTTGCAACTCGGCTGGTGAAACTGGCACGGCTGCAAAATCCGGGGCAGGAGAGAGAGGGTGAGGCAAGGCTTCCTTTGCATTTCCTTTCCAGACACCAACCAGCCATCAGCATTCACTTGCTGACATCTAGTGACAGGAACAAGCATCGTGGTCCTGCCTGTAAGATTGTTTTCCTCAGGATCCCTCTGCCACCAACCACTCGGGGAGTTCTGAACACCGTTTGGATCAATGCGATTAAATTTTAGTATGCTATTCTCCCTGCAATAACCAGGGTGCCCCGTTTTGTGGTTTTTTTTTCCAGCACTCCAGCACTGTGTCTTTTTCTATTTAAAATAACAAACAGTTTTGTGGACTGTGCCTCGGCCTTGTTTAAAACAAAGAAAACTGAGCTCTTTATGCCCTTTTGGTGTCTCTTTTTGAGTGCTTCTGGTTGAGTTTTAAAGCCCTTTTTCTTTCTCCCTTCCATCTTTCTTTAGTATTCCTCATGGCACTGGGGTTGGAATTGGATGACATTTAAGGTTCCTTCAGCCAAAATCTTTCTGGGATTCTGTGAAAGGAACTGTTCAAAATGACAGGAGTAAATTTAGAATTTGGGTATAATTAAGGCTGAAGGGAACACCTGGAGGCCTCTTGTCCCAATCCTTGCTCAAAAGAATGTTAAATTTCACGTTGGGGTGGCTTCTTGGCAAATGATTTATTCAACTTCTGTTTTGGAGGATGGATATTCCACACACCTTTGAACAAACCCCTGTGAATTTACCCTGATGGACACTCTAACTTGCCACCTTTCTTTCACATCCACAAAGAAGAGGTCATGGATCTCTGGTCACCTGGATACTGGTTGTCTGGACAGCCTCAGAACAGCAAATATTTCTGCAGATCTCCAGATGTTCTCCAGCTTCAGAGCTGTGAAGGGGCTGAAATGTTAAGCTTCTGAGTCTTGGAATCCCTGAATCACAGCATTTGAGGTTGGAAAAGAACTCCAAGATTGCACAGTCCAAGCTTTGAATGCGGCACTGGAGTTGGAATTGGATGCCGAAAATCTTCAGCCAAAATCTTTCTGGGATTCTGTGAAAGGAACTGTTCAAAATGACAGGAGTAAATTTAGAATTTGGGAATAATTAAGGCTGAAGGAAACACCTGGAGGCCTCTTGTTCTTGACCCTTGCTCAAAAGAATGTTAAATTTCACGTTGGGGTGGCTTCTTGGCAAATGATTTATTCAACTTCTGTTTTGGAGGATGGATATTCCACACACCTTTGAACAAACCCCTGTGAATTTACCCTGATGGACACTCTAACTTGCCACCTTTCTTTCACATCCACAAAGAAGAGGTCATGGATCTCTGGTCACCTGGATACTGGTTGTCTGGACAGCCTCAGAACAGCAAATATTTCTGCAGATCTCCAGATGTTCTCCAGCTTCAGAGCTGTGAAGGGGCTGAAATGTTAAGCTTCTGAGTCTTGGAATCCCTGAATCACAGCATTTGAGGTTGGAAAAGAACTCCAAGATTGCACAGTCCAAGCTTTGAATGCTCCTCATCTTGTCACCCAGCCCAGAGCACTGAGTGCCACATCCAGTCATTCCTTGGACAACTCCAGGGATGGGGAATCCACCAAAGAGTCAAGCACCAAGGTGAATATTTCATGTTTAGAATTTGGGAATGGTACATGGCTCAGAGCTGAGACTTAAAAGTCTTAAATTCTGCCTTTTGCAGATATGAGAAGCCTAATTCTGAGCCTTCAGTAGGAAAAGGAGGGAATGTATCTTTTCCCAGGAAATGCTCTTTTTGAAGAGTTAGCTCCAAAATTCAGGCAGGGTTATTTCTCTCAGAGAGAGATGTGGAGATCATCATGTCTCTCTCCAGTTAAGGAAGATGCTCTGGTCATGATGGATGATCCCATCCTCCTCTCAAGGAAGTCAAATTCTCATATCCACCTTCCCAAAGGTATGAACGGGCCATGGTCTGTCATTTGTTCACCCTTCCAGTCATTCATTCACCTTTTTCCTTCTACACTTTTACCCCACTGAGGCCATCCCACCATGTAACCAAAACACAAAATGTGTGTGGCCACAGAATCAAAGAATTGTTAAAGTTGGAAAAGACCTTTAAGATAATCATATTCAACCATCATCTCACCAACACTATGTTCACCACCAAACCATGTCCTGAAGTGCCACATTCACCTTTTTTTTAACACTTCCAGGAATGATGACTCCACCACTTCCTTGGACACTGCCTTTCAAAGCTTGAAAACGCTTTATGTTAAAAAAAAATTTCTAATATCTAAACTGAAACTTCCGTGGTGCAACTTGAGACCGTTTCCTCAGAAGAAAAGGCATTTAAGGGAGCTTAATTCATTAAGATGGTCATGATGGCTAAGAGGTGCTTGGGTACCCAACCCTGCAGTCCATATGCATGTTTTACATGAGGAGCTTTCCCAAGGAATAACTGCTGTGGGGAAACGTTGATGTTGTGCAAGTGTGGCCACAGGCACATGGATGATCTAATCCAACATCCATGGCCATGGACACAAAAACTCACCCTGACACCATCTGTCCTCAGACTGAGTTCTAAAACAGAAATCACAGATTCATGGAATCATTATGGTTGGAAAAAGATTTCCAAGATCACCAAGTCCAAGCTTTGTCTGTGCTGTGTTAATTCCTCTCCTCTCTCCAGGGCTGCTCCTTGTTCTCCTGGGATGAGATAGACTAGGACTCCCCATTTTGGGTCAAGATTTTAGGGGATATTTTTATCACAATGAAAATTTCTGAGTTTTAACTGACCTCGTAGGCGTGGGGCAAGGCAGCTCAGCTCAGTCATGGTCATATTGCCCAAGAGTTCACAGCTTGTGCCACAGACTGTGATCAAAGTCTTTCCTGGGGAAAATCCAGTTCCATGCAAGTAAACTTCTCCTCCATTCAAACCATCTTAGAAAAGAACAGAAAATGGGATTTAAGACAGAGCCTGACAGCTAGCTCTCAACAAAAGGGGTTTTTTTTAATTAATAATTTTTGCTTTCATGACAAAACGCCCACATCTCTGCAGTGCCTCACACAAAACCCTGTGGAGGAACTGCAGCAACTTTCCATGACTTACCCCAGTTGTGACGTGCAGCTGTCACTGTCAGATGAGAAGTGAAAGTCAGGTTGGAAGAAGCCCATCCCCTGGGAATATCCAGGCCCAGCACAGGGTAGTCTCCAACAGGGAGCAGAGGAGCTGTGCACTGCAGTGTGGAGTGACTGACGGTGATGTTGCTGCAAGGAAAATCTCCAATAAACACCTGGATAATGTCCATCTCTGTGACCTGTGATACTGTCAAAGTTAAAAGGAGACCAGTGGAAACAAGTGAAAGGAAAGCTGGGGTGAACTCCTCACTGTAACTTATTGTTCCAAGGTAATAGGAGTGTCCATCTACTTTCAGACTCAGAGCCCTCGTGCCTTTCCCCGGAGGCACTGTGCACTGGATGAGCACACAGCTGATGTTGAGAATGAGGCAAGGGTGATGGTCTATGAGGACTGAAGTCATCCTCTTTCCTTTCAGAGCCAACCCAGCTAAGCTGAGCAGGCCTCCCCCATTGGTGCTGAAATCCCGTGGGTAAAACTGGTACACCCAAGGCAGGATGGTGAGAAGGCTGGATGTCCCTCTGAAACAAGCACGGCCACTTATCCTGCTGGATATGGAAACGCTGTGCTCCCCTGGGGCCAGGCAGGCTGTCTGGCACTTGATGACGGTCTCGTTCCAAAAAGTCACCTTGCAGGCAGAGCTGTTATCCACCTGTACCACGGGGCTGTCACCCTGCCATGCCAACCTCTGTCCTTTGATTGTCATGTGGGTGGATGTCCCGTTGGTCTTCCAGGTCACCAGATGTACCAGGGGGGTCCAGTGCTCCCGAAGGTGGAGTGTACAGCCCCCAAGGCACACACTGCGGACCCCATTGACAACCACAGTGACACGGAGAGCCCGAGATGCCTCAGCCAGCCACTGAGGGTGCAAAGGGTGGGCCCCTGGAAGGACAACACAGCTGATGGAGTCATTATCAGACTTCTGGATCTCACAGGAGTAATTACTCTCCAGGCTGACCTGTACCAAATTCCTCCTGGATTTCAAAGCAATACCAGATATAGTGAGCAACATCCCACCACAGATTGATCCTTGTGATGGGAATATGGAGGTTATCTGTGGAGTTACTGTGAGGGCCTGCTGCCTTGCTGTCACTTGAGCATATCCCAGCTCCTTCTGGATGACCTGGATAGGGAAAGTCCCAGGTTCCAGGCTGTTCAGTGGCAAAGAGCACTGATAAGACATTGCAGACTGGTTGCCCCATTGAAACTCAAGCTGACATTCAGTGTGTCCAAGCTTAGCCACAGATCCAGTGATGTTTATTCCCTGAATGCTCAGGAGCAGGCTGCCATCTGTGATTTCTGTTTCAACAGCAGTAACGAGGGGAGTCAAAGCTCTTTGGTAGTTAAAGATGGTGGTCCTATTTGCAGGGAGATCTTGTTGAAATGACCCACTGCTGATGGCTACATTTACTCTGACAGAGATGTCACCTGAATCTTCATTAGACAAATTTACAGCTGGTGGGGTCAGGCACCAAATTGTCTCTTCTTCCAAGTGAGTAACTGTACAGGTTTGATTGTCCATTGACACAGAAATCAAGGCAGGATTTTGGCTAAAGCCCACTCCGGAGATTGTGAGCAGCGTTCCACCTAGGAGCAAAGCAAAATAAGGAAGAAGGGTATTATATGCAGAAGAGGAATTCATTATTATCTCTGTACCATCATCTTTAAGGTCCCTTCCAAAACAAACATTTTATGATAAAGCTGATAAGCATGACAAGCTGAAGGAAAGAAATAAAATCCTTTTTTTTATGGACAAGACAGCTAGAGACAATAGCAGCCATATATCAGGATAATCCTACATGGACAAGAGGCTAAGGTAACAAGTAGCCAGGGATCTTTGTGGCAGTAAATGACCATAGAAAGCCACCACAGAAATGGAGAAAGCTGCTGTGAAAGACCCCTGAGAGTAAACAGAGGCTGAACTCTTCATGGAATGGGACTGTCCCTACAGGTGGGTGGGGAGATAGTTTGTTCCTGATGCCCACAGGGAAGAAGAATGAGATTGTGAATATTGTCAAACTCAGGCAGTGTCAGATTTCATAGAATCACAGAATGCTTTGTGTTATAAGGGGCCTTTAAGACCACCTCCTTCCAACCCCCTCTCATGGGCAGGGATACCTCCCACTATCCCAGGTTGCTCCAAACCCATCCAACCTGGCCCTGAACAGTTCCAGGGATGTGGCACCCACAGCTTCTCTGGGCCCCCTGTGCCAGGGCTGCTCCACTCTAACAGGGAAGAGCCCATCCAAAAGCTCTGTCCATGTTCCTTTGTTTGCAGCATTGGAACTCCCAGTGTCCTGCCTTGCTTCAACCTCTTTATCCATTAAGCCCATTCTGTTCCTTTTCCCATGATCTAGTTGAAAAAATAAGTTGTTTTGTGATGAGGTTTCTTTTTAACTGAGCCCAAATCCTTAACCCAGATGTGCACACAAGTGTTAGACACAACAAAAGTTTACAGGTAAGGGGGGAGGGACTGGTGTTTTTTGCAGCAAAAATATTTTAATTCAGCTTAAGCCATTCATAAAAATACAGCCAAAGAGTTAATCAGTTCTTATTTAATTTTCAATTTACCCTGAAATATAAAAAGAAGGGTAAAACTTTTATTGTTTTTTGTAGTATGGTTTAATCTTCAAAACTGACAGGATTTGCTCTCCAAGCTCTATCCACTCTCTCATCTTTCAAGGCTTGAGCACTTCACAAACTATTGAACTAATCACATACCACAAAGCCTCTGAATTTTTGTGTCTTTAAATGTGTTGTGAGCCTGGGAGAGCAATATGTGGAGGACCTGAGGTTGTAGCACAAGAATTTCTCTGTCTTCTATAAAAGCATTTCTAAGGGCTCATGTAAAATTCACTACAGGGATTCAACTCTCCTCCACCACCAGCCAAATGACAAAATAAATCAACCACCCTAAATATGCTTTTTAAGATTTAAAGTAAAACTTTTCTTTTTAATTCAGCAGTGTTCTGCTTAGAAACACACTTAAATTATTTCCAATGTCTAAAAGCTTAGAACAGGATTAATAAATATTTCCCTTTTGATTAAAATTAACATTGAAAAAGGGCTTTTTTTATTTCGTCTTTTCAACATAACAAAAATGAACATCCCTTTTGGGATCACTTCAAATTATTGTTTGCTTCAAACCACAATTGCACCCTGCTTTCCACCTAACTTTGACATGGAAAACCTTGAAAGATGGGGCAAAATGACTGAAGGAAACAGCACAGATGAGCCAGGTGTCGGTGTGCTTTGTTTTCCCAACGGGAACATGCAAGGATACATGAGCAAACACTTGGGGAAATCAAATTCAAAGCACAGGGAGCCCTGAGCCAGCCAACCAGATGGAGGGATGCTCACTACAATCCCACATTTCCAGACCTCTGCTGTCTGCCAGTTGATGCCTGCGTAATAAAGGGTCACAGATTCAAAACCCCCTCATTTAAAGGGATGTGAAATGGGATGCACTTTCCATTCCTGCAGGAAAACTGTGCCCTTGATCCCTTTAACCTCCATAAGTGGCTGCAGATGTACCAATGCTGCTTACCCAGAATGGAGCCACAACACGGCTGGATGCTGAAGATCTCAGAGAGGTACTGGATTAACGGCTCAACCCTGCAAAACACAACCAGCACAGAAAGGATTCAGGGTAGTTAGGGATATTCTTTTATTTTTCCTCCCTGTTTCTGTGCTTTTCTTTCTTACAGCTCCCAGAAAGCCAAGCACCCACTTGGCACATCCCCTTTCTTTGATGTCACAGTGACAAGACCACCCAACACCCCACATTATTCCACGTGGTTTAGAATCACAGAATGGTTTGGGCTGGAAGGGGCCTTAAAGATCATCTCATTCCAACCCTCCCAGTCCCTGGGCAGGGACACATTTGAGCTACATCTGTCACAAACTCTCTCCTATCAATTGGCAACATGTGGGCCAAATTGAGTCCAACTGAATTGCCCATCAAAGGAAGCAAGAGTAAGGATTTTTTGGCAAGCAGACCCCACTGTAGCTATGCCCAATAGAAATGTACTGAAAAGGCATCACAGCTGCCCTCTCTCCTCACACCCTCCCACCAGAGTGGAGTACACTGAACAAGAGGAAACCCAGACATGAGCTCCTGAAGCCCACCCAGATAAAGTTATAGCTCAATTTCTGTCCCAATCTACATCTATTTTATTCATCACCCTGCTTTTAAAAACATCCCTTTCGCTAAAAAGAAGTGTTAGAGAAGGGATCTTCCCAATCCTGCAATCCAGCCCACCAGAGCTCAGAGTCCTCTCCTGGGATGACCAATCTCCTTCCAATCTATCCCTGGAGATAATGATGGTGCTGCTAACAAACTCCAGTACCAGGCGGGATAAATCCCTGTGTGCCATCCCACCAACCACAATTTTTCTCCTTCTGTGGTTCATTAACATTACAAGCAGCTTAAGTTGATTTGTGAGCAATAAAAACACCTCATTTCTCCCCAGTATTGTCATTTCAGGACCACTTCTGCAGCTGCCATGGCTGAAGAACAAAACTGTGTTGCTTTGAATACATTCCTATATCCCAATTTCAGGTCAGCTTTTCCCTACATTTTGGTTCGTTTATATTACATTTATCTAGGCATGAACTTGAAGTGTCACCTTAGGAAATGGAAATATCATAATTTAAAAATTCTCCAAACAAAGCATTTTTGCATTGTTCAAACTAGCTTTTGTTTTTCTGATGAAAAGTGTTTCTTTTCTTCTGCTGTTTTCCTACAGCAGGATTTATCTGCATTTGACCTGAATCTGTGAATGCTTTTGATTGCCTCAATATGCATTTTTCATCAAATCAACTGTTTTTTCCTAAAATGTTTCTCTCCTGCCTTCTACTGATCCAAGGGAAGTTAATGGACTAGCATTAGCAGTTTGCTGACTTGGGCTCCACAGATAAATAAATTCCTTGATAATTATTCATAATTTCATACCACACTGCAGAATTCACCTTTAGGTACGGAATTAGTGAAAAACTCAACCCTTCCTTTTCAGATTAACCCTAAAACACCAAATAAGATAGAGAATGAAGCTTCTGAGCAAAATACACACCTGTTTGAAGTGACAGCAATGCCATTGATGAGGACAGAAATATTGTACCGCCCTGCAGGCAGGGTTGGAAGTGTCACAGTGACCCCACACTCTGTCTGTGCCTGGACCTGTGGCCATGAGTCCCCAATTTGGACCTTGACATCTGAGCCCTGGTAGCTGGAAAACCGGGATATTCCAATGTGAAGCTCCTCACCTCCTGCAGAGAAAGGAAGGGAACTTTTTCAGTGTTTCTGGCAATGGTTATTTTAGCACACGTGACCATTGCCTGAGGAAGAGCAGAGTCCCATCATGACAGAATAGTCCAGCCATGCCCATCAGCCCAAACCCAAAATGTTGAAGACTGCAGTGGCTCTGTATCCTACTCAATCTCTCCTGCATAAGGTCACCAGCTATCAGGGTTGTCTTGAGATATCAGCACAGTGATTTTGGTTATGTCCACCAACAGCCACTCTCAGCAACACTCAGGATGGGATTCATGTCCCCTGTACCATAAATGTCTGTCCTATAAATATGTGAACCTCAGGCCTTCCAAATCCTTTTTTTTTTTTTTTTTTTTTTTTAAGCTTTACAGCTGAGGAGTTCTGGGATTTTTAATTTTTTTTTTTAATCCCTGATAAACGATCTAGAGCCTAGAGTTTTCAGAATTATGGAGCCATGGAATAGTAATAGGAGCCTTCCATAGTAAAAAAAAAAAAAATATATTTCCTTGTGTACCTAAAGTCAGACGTGCTTGTCATGGTTTAACCCCAGATGGCATCTCAGCCCCACACATCTGCTCACTCCCTCCCCTGCCGTGGGATGGAGGAGAGAATTGGAAGCATAAAAGGGAGAAAAATTGTGGGTGGAGATAAAAACAGTTTGATGGGTAAAGCAAAAGTTATGTGTGCAAAGCAAAATGAGGACTTCATTCTCTGCTTCCCATGGGCAGGCAGGTGTTCAGCCATCCCTGCAGGGCTCCATCACATGGAATGGTGACTTGGGAAGACAAAACACCATCACTCTGTCTCCCCCTTCCTCTCTTAGCTTTATAAACTGGACATGAGCAACATGGTCTGGATAATCCCTTGGGTCTGTTGGGATCAGCTGTCCTTGCAGTGTCCCCTCCCAAATCTGTGTCCACCCCCAGCCCATTCACTGGTGGGGTGAGGAACAGAAAAGTCCCTGACTGTGTAGACTTTGCTCAGCAATAACAAAACATCCCTGTGTTATCCACACCATTTTCAGCATGAGCCCTTGCCAGTTTGCCATGCAAAAATGTGCTAAACTTTCCTAAAAGGCTTGTTTGTAAGTGGACATCATTCATTATTTGTGTTTTCTATGTTCTACACACAGCCAAAATCCTGGGGGGGAGGGGGAGGAAAATGAGAGAAATGTGGAAAAAAAAAACCCAAAAAAATTCAACAATTAGAAACTTTCGCAAAGAGAAACTTTCAAAAGACAGGAATGGCAAACACTCCATGAGATCCAATTAGGATTTTGTCCCATGAATTCTGTGAGGTCTATGTTCATATTCTAAAGTAAAACATCACGAGGTCAAAAAGGAAGGAACATTTTGGCTTGGAATGGGAACTAGGCAAAAGAAATGTTGCCTATCCCCTGTTTTCAGTAACCCAAAATGCACATGATGCTCTTTATGGTCATCCCCTGGGGATCCTGGAGAAGGACACTCTCCAGAGCTCATTTCTCCCGTCATGGATGAATCTGTTACTAAGAAATACAGAATCATGGAATACCCTGAGTTGGAAGGGGCCCATAAGGATTACCAAAGTTCAACTCCTGACCCTGTACAGGACAGTCCTGAGAATCCCACCCTGTACCTGAGAGAATTGTACAAGCACCAGTTGAGCTCTGGCACCCTTGAGGCAGTGACCATTCCCTGGGGAGCTTGTTTAGTGCCCAGCCACCCTCTGAGTGAAAAACCATTTCCTCATACCCAGCCTAAACCTTTCCTGACACAGCTTCATGCCATCCCATTGGTTCCAATCACTGCATGAATGGGTGGGATCATTTCAGAGCAGAGTTAGAGAAACCTGACATCCTGTGGACATCATCCATACCATAGGGCAAGCAACTCATTACCTCATGTATGCTAGTGAAAAACCAACAAAAAACCAACCACAACTGACCAGGACTAGCAGGAAATACAGGAACTAAAATTTAAAGGAAAACAAACAAGGTTAGATGAAACTTTATAGATTTATAAATTCCCTCTGCCCCACCACCATCAGCACTAACAACCTTTCTGCAGAAGATGCCCAATACACAGCTGCATTTTCACCTGCTATGCCACTTCTGTTCCTGCTCAAGGATTCAAGTGCAGGGTTTAAGGAAGGATCATACTGGAATAAGTTGGTTACTGTTGTTGACTTGTACCCAAAAATCAGTGTCACATGGACATCAGCATCCTCTGCCCTCTAGGAAGAGAGAGAAAGAAAATGTCAGAGATAAGAATTAACCAATTTTTTTTTAAAAAAAAGAAAGTTATTTCCTATGTTCCTGCATCTCCCATACAAAAGTCAGGTACATAGCACTGATGAAACTTTCACATACAACAGACTCTATTTAAATATTTACAGTTACGTTGACTTTAAAGAGGATCTACAGAGATTTTGGAACCTTAAAACAATCCCAGACTGTGAAGATTTAGATTTGCTATACCCATACAAGAACATTAAACAAGTAAATAAAATCCCAGACTAACTATGCAGTTTTTAATTTGCAATATTCTTACTAAATTAAGGAGCTTGCTTTTTTCACTGGTTTTCATAAATCTCCTGTTAATCTATTTTTAACTAAGCTGGTCTAATCTGTAGAGTCCACAGTAAACTGCCCCACAGATAAGGCTGAGGGGCAACTCTTTGCCCTTCCCTAGTATAGCTCAGGCCAGAAACACATAGGAAGGCACACTGGCTTCTGTCTGCTCCCCAAAGTGTGGTTTCTTACCCGAGAAGGAACTTTACATTGAATTCTTGTTGAATTTCTGCCCTCCTCCAAAATTGGGCAAGGCTGGGATCCAAACAACACTGCGTTTACCCCTTCCAGATTGGTCCCCCTGAGAGTCACTCTAAGTCCTCCTAAAACAAACAATTATTCCATGATGTTCAATATGTAGGATGTTTTAATATACAAAGAATTCTTTGTTTATAGATGACTACAAAAGTCTCTCAGCTGAGCTGATGATGATCTGTTCCACCTTGCTGTGCCTGGCTCCCTCTCTTGCACCAGAGATCCTTCTTGCTTTGTTTGAATTATTTGAATTTGAATTATTTGAATTCTCCTCCACAATACAGGACGAGTGGGTTTTTTTCCTCGGTTTATTTTTTAATGGCATACTTATTTAAACCAGCAAGGCCTGGCCTGTGATCTCCCCCTTAGCCAGATCCCCAGCCCAAGAACGAAATAAGGAAGGAAGGAAGAAGCGCTAAGAATGGAAAATGAGCTTAACGCAGCAGGTGCTCTCACAGTTCAAACAGCTGCCAAGCTCCCTGCTGTCAGAAAAGCCTGTAGCATGTGTCTAGGAAACTTGGGATAGAAAGGGGACTTGGCAGGGCTGGAGACTTGGATTTGTGAGGGAAGTCACGGAGGGATTCGTTCCATGGAGCACCGAGCAAGCTCAGCTCTCCTCCATGCCAGACTGAGCCTCCCCTGTCCCAGGCAGGATCACGCCCGACACAAGTCAGGCTTGTGCTTGATCTTTCTTCAGCATCCAGTTCCAAAGAGCCAAGGTGCCCCTTTGCTTTTCCAAGTGATTAGAGGACTCAGGGATGTTTCAAAGAGAAACAGGAAAGAGAACAGGAGTAGGCATTAATGGCAGTTCCAAGCTGGAGTTTGTGCTTTGATGCGATTCAGAGAAACTTTAAAAAAAAAAAAAAAGGAAATGTTGCTTGAAACTTAGAGCTTTTTCTCTAGTTCTCAGCACTGCAGAGTTTTAGGATTATGGCTGAACAGACTGCTCAGACAGGCACTAAATAATGCAGTGTTTATTTGTATTTATTAGCATGGCTATATCGTAAACCTACTAAGCTTTTACCCCTCTTTTCACATGTGATGTAAGCAAAGTAAAGTTAAAGTAATTATATATTAATGACAAATTCCCTTGTATGCCTTCCTGAAATTACCTATTCCTGCTAATTCTTTAAACCACCAGAGAATTATAGAAGCTTAGACTTGATTTCCTGTGGCCGGCAGCAAATCCAGGCCAACAAGAGCAATCAGATACATTAACAGCAATCTCCTGGCATTCACTGGAACGTGGGAGTATCTTTAGAAAGGCATTCCATGCTTCTAGAGTTAGGTCATGGGGATCTCCCAGCATGGCACCACTGAGACCAGGGATATTTTGACAAGAGGGAGCTGATGCAGCAAAGTACAAGGTGCTTTGTTGCCTTCCTGTGCTGTAACATTAAATTTGCAGAGTCAGAAAGAGCAAGAAGTGAAAACTGAAGCCACTTGCAAATGCAAGACTTGTCAGATAAGGAGCTTCAGATTTAGAGTTCAGAATCCACTAGTGTTGTGTAAAGACTGATGCTGTTAAGTTTTGATATCTGCATTATATCTATATGCAGGGAAATACTGCCTGTGTGCACTTTACAAGGAGATTGAAGAGAGGTATTTGAAATGGGAGAAATTGAAAACACAGATGGAAGTTGTAATTCTTTCTAATTATAAGCATTCCAGGCACATGTAATGTAAGATAGCATTATTCTTGCTTTCTTTTTAATGAGTGACAGATCACTGTAATTGGGAGGAGTGGATTTGCCAGCAAAGGAAAGGAGAAGCAAAGCCCAAGCACTAAAAATTGCCATTGAATGATTGTTTTTTGAGTTGCTTGGAGGTGTTTGAGTTTTCTATGAATTAAAAGTGATTCTTAAACTCAGGGTGCCACGACCCTCACATTAGGGAAAAAAATAATATTAAAAGAGTTAGAATCGTTTTCTTCCCATGCAACCAAAAAAAAACAAAACTCAAACAACCCAAAAAATCAACAGCAGAAAAAAATAATACAAACAACCCCCACCACCCCCCTAAAAAACAAACAGAAAAAAAAAAATCCCCAAAACTAAAAGCACAGTGAAAGGTGGCCATAACTTCTAGCTAAGTTATTCCAAGTCCATCCCATGCTTGTCCATGGGCAGTTTTACAGGCTATCATTCCTTTTCTGTGGCTGCTCCAAAGTGGCCAAGCATGGCCCAGTCAGATCTCCAAGCCAGGTGTCTGAGCTGCACTGAGTGCTGCTCTCAGTGGTGATTGCTACCATGATCTCAGAAATAAAATTAGTAAAATGAGGAGATTTACAGAGAAATGACTGGGTAACTTTACTGTCAGAGTAGACTTGGTTCATGCTGATTCTGCTGCATTCCTTGCTGCTTGAAAACAAAGGATAATCTGAGACTGTCCTTCACTGCACAGCCCAGGTATATCAGGAGTGTTTGCCACATTTCTCATTGTGTTGAGGAGACTCTTTTCTCTCTCTCAAAAAAAAAATTCTTTGAAGCTCTTGTCTTCAGGTATGGAATTTATCATTCTTTATTTCCTCTTCTATTTCAAGGAGAGGAGGTATAATGGGAAGGGAAGGAGATTCAGTTTAGCTTTAGCTTCTCTAAGTTTCTTGGCTTTGTACTTAAAGCTAAATAAATGAGTTTTCCATTTTATTCCTCAGAACATGAACTTGCTTCAATGGGACTGGGATTAACCAGAGTCCAGCCATTTCACAGTCATAGAATCATAGGATCATTTAGTTTGAAAAACCCTCTAAGATCAATAAGTCCAGCCAGCAACCCAGGACTGCCAGGCCCACCACTCACCCATGTGCCCAAGTGCCAGATCTACACATCTTTCAAATCCCTCTAGGGATGGTGACTCCCCCAATGCCCTGGGCAGCCTGTTCCAGTGATTGGCAACCATTCCAGTGAAAAAATTTTCCCTAATACCCACTTTAATTAACCAGATTAATTCAAATACTACAAAGCTATGTGTCAAATTGATATGGGAAGATGAGTGTGAAGCACTAATGATTTGCTGAAATGAATATATGCTCACTTGAAAATACAATTCCCAAACAAAACTACTCAGGAAACTGGTTGCCTGCACAAAGAGCCAAAGAGATTCTGTCAGTCTTTAAGCCATTTTTGACTGTGCTTTGGGGCACACACAGTGTGTCCAGCCATAAAATTTCTTCTTCATCAGATGAAAATCTTGACACTGAAAGTACAGAGAACCAAAGTATGTCATGACAAGGAAGAAGCAGGAAGCTGCTCCCTTGGAGAGTTCAGACCTACCAATCTCTGAAGTCGAAGGAGGTTCAACAGCTCCCAGTGTTGGCTGGACTGTGAGGAAGATCCCTTGTCCTGTGGTGCCACTGAGAGCAAAGCCATGAGGTGTCACCAGCAGTGTCACCGGGTAGATCCCGACCGGCAGCCTTGGAACCTGGCAGACCACTTGGGTTTGATTCAGAGATGTGACGTGGCAGCTCCTCCTGTCCACCTCCACCTGCAGGGCCAGCTGCTCCTCACCAAAGCCAGCTCCCCTGAGAACCACTGTGGCCTGGGACCCTTCACCTGAAGGCATATAATCATCAAGGTGACTCACGAATTTTGGCCTAGCAATGCCCAGAATTTAAGTTCAGCCAACAGTTAAAAGTTTCTACCAGCTTCAACAGGACATCCTAAAAACTACACCACTGGTGATATCTCACTGTTCCACATAACAGCAATTCCTGCCTGTCCCTGTTCAGCTGTTACAACTTTCCTCAATTTTTTATTAAAAATAACTCGAGCCAAGAGCTGGTTTTTGCTATAGGCATCAAACCTGCCATTGTTTCTCTCCCCTTTATGCTTCTACCACAGAATCGCAGAGTAGTTAAATTTGGAAAAGACCTCTGAGATCCCCTCTGTGTTCACCCCTAAACCATGTCTCCAAATGCCACATCCACAAGCCCTCTGGACCCTTCCAGGGAAGGTGACTACACACCTGCCCTGAGCAGCCTGTTCCAGAGCCTGACAACCCATTAGATGAGGAAACCTTTCTTAACAGCTATTCTAAACTTCTCCTGATGCACATTAAGGCCATTTCCTATCATCCTATTTCTTCATCCCTGGAAGAAGAGACCAAGTCCCCCCTGGCTGCACCCTCCTATCAAGGAGTTGTGGAGAGTGAGAAGGTCACCCTGAACCTCCTTTTCTCCAGGCTGAGCATTCCCAGTTGCTCCTCCTCAGACTTGTGCTCCAGGCCCTTCCCAGCTCCACTGCCCTTCTCAGGACAAACTTGTACACTCAGCATGTCTGGAACTGGAGCTGATCAGTAGTGACCCATAAAAGTGCAGTTTCCATAAAATCAAAAATTTACAAAAGGAATGTACATGAAATCCCCAGCACCTGGCAGATCTTTCTCACAGAATTTTTGCCATTGTGCTCAGACACCAGGCCCTGTTACCTGATGAATACTCCACATCTCTGACTGTGGGCGTCAATTCCCGGCTGAACTGGAAAGAACACGAGCCAGAACAGTTTGCAAGGACATCGTTCACCATCACCACCACCTGGAGAAAGACCAGAGAGATAAAGTTGAGTGAGATCTTAAACACCTCCAAAGAGCTGTTTTCTAGAGCCACAACTGACTGATAGATGCTGGTAGCCACCCTGAGCTACTGAGAGCACACAGTGCTAGAACAGGGCACGAATAGAGAGCTCTCCACCCTGCTGTAATCCCACTGCAAACTTAATTGCAAATTTAAATAGCAGATTTCTAGGACTCATTCAAAGCACAGCACCCAGACCTCCTCAAACCCCTGTACTTCCAGTCACCCATTGAAGACTGTTCTTGCCTTCCCCATTTCTTCCTACTTTGTCTTGGGAATAAATGTATTATGTCTAAACACCCTGGAAGACTAATTAAAGTGAAACCCACAATGTGTCGTCTCAACACGCAGCCCTTAATTTTATTTTTTGTTCCTTGTTGTTAAAGCTCAAGGAAAAAACTGGGCTGTGACCTTGACTATCTAAAAGAGATATCAAGAAATATCCCCCCTGAGATCTTGATATTTTTGAAGAGTCATCTGGCAAAGAATAGGGCATAAAAGAGTCCCTCTTTATCCCTCTGCAGGTGTTAAGGGTGTGCCTGCAAAAAGCAAAGCATCTGCTCCAAAGAAATACAAGGAGCACAGAGTTGCAAAGTAGACTGCTTAGACAGAGACATGATAATTAGAGGGACAATTTTACACTGCCAGAATAAAGCTTCAAAAGCTATAAGAAAATCTGTTTGCTGCTGCTGGTCTTGTTTCACTTGGGCTGTTTGAGGGTTTGTGCAGCATGGATGGAAAAGATGTGATAGGTGCCTGAGTCACTGGAAGAGAGCAATTCTCATGGCTGGGAACCAGGCTCATGAGAAAGGCAGGATGATTTGGTCCCAGATGTTGCACAGCTGAGCTTGGAGCACATCCAACACCACCCTGTTATGGCCACAGTGCCTGTGAGGCTGCTGGAAACAAAGCCAGCCATAGCCACTGTTCTGCAATATCTGAGAGGAGAGCTGGGAAAGCATTTGTCCATCCAACAGACTGGAATGATTCCTCCTTCAGCATGAAGCTCTCCTGTCTCTCTCTTCCCTCCTGGGAAATTGAGATCCAGACAGGTTCAGGATTTGCCTAACTCACAGATGGGTATCCCAGCCACCAACTCGTTTACTTTGCCCATCAGTGTCACAGTGTTGCAGGTGAATTGTGTAATTCCCAGTTTGGTGTCCAGCACCACAGGGCCCACCAAGGGTGAGAGTTCAGAGATTTTTATCCCTTGGTCACTGCTTCAAAACAAATATATATTGTCTTCCATCACCCATGATCACCATTCTCCCCACCTGCAACAGCTCTTGGAGGAAAGTCCTGCTCCACACCACTGCTTCAAAACAAATATATATTGTCTTCCATCACCCATGATCACCATTCTCCCTACCTGCAACAGCTCTTGGAGGAACCAGGCAGCAGAATATGAGAATTTGAAGCAAAGAACATCAGATTCCTGAAAGGATTCATTGGCAGAACAAGGTGCCCAAATACCTGTGAGACTCCTGGAGCTACACAACCCTGCTGAACCAGTGACAAGTGAGAGAGCACACCAACTCACCTGTGTTCGGTTATGGAGGGTGGCAAGCATGTCCCCAAATATTGGTCCAATAAACACACCCCCATCATAAACCACACGAGTGGAAACAGTGGGCTTCAGGCCAGTGAGGTTTTCAGCAGAGACCTGGAAAAGATCAAGAAATTCAAGTTTCTCATCTTTTTCTGTCCTGTGATGTTAAAACAGAATCTTTACAAGCAATAACGCCTAGAAAGTTCTCACCCTTCTTCCGTGAATCATATCTGCACCTCTAAATCTTCATTCTCAAGGTTTCACAATACCTCCCTGTTCCCACCTTCACCTTGCAGTCAAAGAGATGACCAAGAAGCTCAGGGTGGTAAATAAGCTTCTAATACCCAATAATATAATTTGAATTTAGGCATGGAAAGATCTTCTCAGAGACATGACTTTAGGTGACACAAGGGCCTGTGCAAGAGTTGAAGATGCAGCTCAAACTTTTTTCACCCTTCAGGCCAATACCTTGGGCACTGGAATTTGTTGAAAATAACATCACACTTTTAGGAGCTGAATATCCAAAGAAACAGTGTTTCTTGTTGAAGTAGGAAGCATCTCAGTCTGAGTCCTTACTCAAAAAGACCCTTCTGCTTGAAGCAAAACTAGCAGGACATATCTTGGGATGGGAGAGTGTAAAGTGAAGCTTCACCTGAGACTTATGAGAATGAGATAAGAAACCAGACAAAACAGTTCTCAGAAAAATACCCTCTTGGCAAATAAATGATGCCACAAATCTGTGATGAGCTCCAGTTACTGAAATGTTAATGTAGATATAATTAATAAAGATTTCATTTCAGTATACCAGTCCCTTTGCTGTGCAGAAATTACACTCAAATTTCCTGGTTTTGAATCACAGACTCAATATAATTTCTTCTCCTACAAACTGTTTTGGTTTTTTTTAATCATTTAATCTGGAATTTGCTTAATGTACTTATCCAAATAGGAAGATTGCCTAAATTTCCACGGTGTCTTCTTAACAAAAACATTTTAAGAGTGAATCAGCCAAGACCAAAGATATCAAATGAGGATCAAAGTGGGGATTAGTAAAAGAAATTATTGTACACTGATAACATTGGGTAAGTCCCCAGCTGTTTTTTTCCAAGTCAGTGTCCAGACACTTTCATAGCACGAGCTGGAGTCTCTGGTCACGGTGAAGTCACTGGTGTTGATGAAGGGAGCTGTAAAATTATCCACATTGTCCTGCAAAAGCCTGCGGAGCTGGTGAGCAGAGATCTGCACTGAAACACCTGCAAAAGATGTTAGGGAGCAGTGGATGTCTCCATTTCCAGGAGAGCACATCTGCCTGCTCCTAGGAAAGGAAGGGATTTCATTATGAGTGCAAGGCTGTCATGGTTCAAACCTCTGCAGCTGCCAGAAGAGTGACATTTATTGGATCCTAAACATCAAAAAACCATAGAATTATAGAATAGAATTATAGAAGGATTTGGGCTGGAAAGGACTTTAAAGGTCATCTAATCCCAGCAATGAACCCTAGACCAGGTTGCTCAAAGCCCCATCCAACCTGACCTCAAATGTTTCCAGGGATGGGGAATCCACCACCTCTCTGGGCAACCCTGTCAATGTTTCTCCAACCTCATCATAAAAAATTTCTTCCTTATGTCTAATCTGAAGGTCATCCACACTTTTCAATAACACTCAGTGTCATGGTTTAGTTGTGGTGTCAGGGAACGGGTTGGACTCAATGATCTTAAAGGCCTCGTCCAACCTTGTGTGATTCTGTGAACAACCAACCTGGCCTTGAGCACACCCAGGCATGGGGCAGCCAAAACTTCTCTGGCAATTAACTCTTCCCTTGGCTTCCTGCTCAGGAAATCCCTGCATCTTCCCTTACCTGGTATCACTGTGTTGGCCAAGTGGATGTGGAAGGTTCCTCCGAGAGGTGGGGATGACTTCTGCAGCCTCTGGATGGTGATGCTGACTCTCACATCCTCCGTGGACACGTTCAGGTGTCCGTATCCCTCAGAGCCCTCCCCAAGCACTGCACCTCTGTGGGACAGAGAAGGGTCACAGGAAGGCATCAGCAGTGGAGACCCTCACTGCTGACACCCCCAAGTCAACCAACAGTTCAGGAACACCTATGGGAACAACACTCCTGAGGGATTTAAGGGGAAGATGGCCAGACCTCAAAAAAAAACTGGATATTCCCAACTTCTAACTTCTTATCACTCTCTTTCTCCAGGCAGCAGCTGACAGAACCAGAGGACACAGTCTTAAGCTGCACCAAGGGAAATATAGGTTCGATATTAGGAAAAAGTTTTTGAAGGAAAGGGTGATAAAATACTGTAATGGCCTGCCCAGGGAGGTGGTGGAGTCACCATCCCTGGATGTGTTTTTAAAAAAATTGGATGTGGCACTTTGTGCCATCGTTTACTTGAGGTGTTAGGGCTGGGTTGGACTCAATGATCTTGAAGGTCTCCTCCAACCCAGTGATTCTGTGAATTATGCAGGCAATGCACACAGCAAAAAAATACGGAAAATGACCTTTTTAAATTTATGGTGGAAGAAATAATTTATACAACATCAAGCACCAGGTGCAAACCAGTGGTGTTTAGAAACATCACTACTGGTGTTTCTAAAGAACCAGCTCAGTGCAGCCTGGACAACATCTGCAACAGCAAAGCAAAAAATATTTCCTGCTTCATACTGTAATCTCCTTGAGCCCATGAAAATCCCAAGTCCCCTGAATTACAGTGAGATTTCACATTGTACAACAATTTAGGTTGGAAAAGACTCCTAAGATCGAGCCAAATCCTTAACCCAGCATTACCAGGTCCCTCATTAAACCATGCCTCCACACACCACATCTTTATTGAGTTATTCAGGTTCACAAAAGTACAATTTCTAAAAGTTAAAATGCCGTTCTCCTTCTTCACTAAAATTCTCGTGTTTCGAAGGAAAAGGAGCCTCTCCGTGGTACAACGATGCCACCGTGTGTTAAATGTCTGCATAACAAGTGGCTTCTGCAGAGCAAATTTTCACGAAACAAAACCAAAAGGATCACTGAGCCCTTTGTACAGCTGGTACAAGATTTTAACCAATATTCCTGTTCTGACAGGGGTAGGAGCTATATTGGATAAAATCACAGACCCTGTTCAGCGAAGAGAAAGAGCCAGGTTTATTTTGAAGATGTCCAAAGACAGTGCTCAGCTCACACTTTTTTAAAGCTTGTGGTGATTCCTGCTTTTTTCTGATACCTTCCTCAGTGAGATGGAAAAGTCTGCCTGTGCTTAGCACCTTTTTTTAATCCTGGTGAGAGGTATTGTGATCAAACTTCTTCTTAATTTTTTTTTTTATTAGCTAAACAGGTGGAGCTTCTTAAATCCTCCTCTTCTAGGCATTTTCCTCAGCTCTACAATGATGCTTGTGGCATTTTTCCCCCATTTTTTTCTAAATTTATTCAAAAAATACAGCCATCAGTGTTATTTGCAGCATTCCAATGTCAGTCTTCAGGCTCCACACAGGAGTAAAAATTTTCCCTCTTCCTATTAGTTACACCTCTGGTTATGCATCTCAACCACCACAAACGTCCCCCTGTGTTCTCATTCCTGCCCTTACCCTTGGTGGTTTATGTTAAGATACTACATTTGACTCAGCTGGATACAATCCAACTTTTACAGGACTTATTTCTTATTTTCTGCCCGTACAAACGTTTAATGTCACAGTCTGTCATCCAGTTATAGCCCATGGCTCTGATTCCTCTGTCATTGTTGGGAGGAACAGAAACCTCATCTCAGCAAACAAGGACAACCAAGGTGGACTTCCAGTGCCTAATGTGGGAATTGGTGTCATTAACAGTGCTTTGGAGACACCTTTGGAGGATCTTCATCCCCTGTTCCAGAAGGGCTTAGATTTCCTTCCAGCCCCACATCACACCTTGGTGACCCACGGATGTCTGACACCACAAGTTACCTCAAACTTCTTGTTTTCAGCAGCTGAACCCACCTCCAGATCCACTGGGGGAGCTCTAAGGGGTGTTACAGGGTACTGAGATGAGCTGCTGGCTGTCCCTACCTTGGAGAGAGAAGAGGCAGACTGGCACCACAGCCAGACACCCGCCAGGACACGTTGTAGGAGGGAGGAGACCCCACCACCGACACTCCTTCAATGATCCTCCCCCCTGGCCACGGGGGTTTGGGGTCTCTCTGAGAAACTGAAAGAAAAAACATAAACATTCATGGAGAGCAGAGGTTATTATACCCAGGGTATTGTCATTTCCTAGCTGGAAACACCTGCTTGGGTTTGGTTTTTTTGTTTGAAGTTATATTTCATAGAATCATTAAGGTTGAAAAAGGCCTCTAAGTTCACATAGTCCAACTATTCTGCAGCACTGCCCAGTCCACCACTAACCCATGTCCCCAAGTGCCACATCTAGGCATTTTTGAACCTTTCCAGGGATGGTGATTTCACCACAGCCTGTTTCATTTGTAGAGCCACATTTTCAAATAAACCAAGTATAGCAATATTTTGGCAATTCCTTCTCGAATGTTGTCACAAAAAAAAAAAAAATTCAAGAAAAATAACTATTTTTGTGCCTGTTGTGAAATTTCCCATTGAAAAAGTTTCATCCATCTTTACTGTTATAGATTTAACAGAATATCCGGGGGGGGGAACAAAAGAGATGCCTTTACCAATCACAGCTCTGTCAGCAATGATAAGCTCATCAAGATAAAATGATCCAGCTGTTTCTTTTTGCAGCACAGGGCTCTGCAAGTCTATCTGGTGCACAAATACTGGGGAATTGGCTGGGAGGTCCTGGAGAAGCACAGAGAGATTCACACACCTCTTCCAGAGGTTGGTGCAGGTAAATGTCCAGCTGGAAGACACCAAGGTTGGGACAATAAACAAATTTGAGGTGATTGTGAGGATTCCAGGTAATATCAGGCACTGGTTTTGTTACTAGTGGTATTTAGCACAAGCCACATGCTCAGTGGTTTGTGATCACTCACCACGTCCTTATTGGGTTCCACAGAGTGAGAAATGAGGATTTAGATCTCTGCTTATGTTTTCCTCTCTGAATCACTAGAGTGGGATATGGGAATGACTACACCTGCTTTATTTTTTGGCAAAATACCACAACAGCATCAGTGACCTCAACAGGGGTAAATCCAAAATTCAAACCCTCAGCTTTCTTTATTTTTTTACACTCCTGATTTTTTTCAGTCTGCCTGCCCTAAGCTTTATGTCTGCTACCAAATGTTTTCTACCCATGGAATTTTAAGTGAATAAAGAAAATCAAAGCCTACAGTAATTTTCAAAGCTTTCAAAGGGTGGAGTAAAAAAACAAGCAATTCTCTCTCTTACTGCAGGAAATCAACCAGGAAAGCAAGTGGGGAATTTATGTTCTCAAAAATCTTCAAGTATGACACCTGTGTGTCACTGAGGTGAGATGGTGCATGTAGCAAGAAACATGGAAATTTACTCATTAAATCCTCCAAAAAGCAGGGAAACACATTCCAGCAATGTCTCTGTAGGAACAGAGATTTTTGTCAGATTACTCCAACTGACAAATTGTTCCTATATAAATAGTAAATTCCTTCAGTTTTCCTGCTGCACCTTCTTACTAAGGAAAATGCAATCTCTGATAGCTGTAATTGTCTGGATACCTTTTAGAGTCAGTTTCATTGAAGTCCCACTGGCAGGTGAGGTTTCTCCTCACTGGACAAGAAGAGACATTGGTGTAGGACAGTGAGAGATGGAGGGTGTTGCTCACGTGTCCTTTATGTGCAAAACACACCTGCAAAAACGGGGGAGAGACTTTCACAAATCAAAACACAGGCAATTTATATATAATGCACTTGGAAGATAAAGGAACAGATTCTATTTCAGTTCTGGTTTATCACTAGGTTGTTTGGAGAAGAAAAGACTCTGGGGAGACCTTAAAGTCTCTTCCAGTGCCTAAAGGGGTTTCAAGGGAGCTGGAAAGGGAATAAAAGCTGTAGAACAAAGTTTTGGCACCCAGGTGTGCCACAACATGGCATGAAACTGACCCCTGGGGCTTCCCTGAAGTTTTGGGTTTATTCCTGTGAAAAGTAGGAGAAGATGAGCAGAAAAGTGAGCACTGAACCACCAAACAATAAAGGATTTTTTCCTTTTGTCAAGAAAGGGTTGTCCTTGTCCCTTCCACCTTTCTCCAACACCATCCCACTTTTTCCTTTCCCACATCAAGGGTTGTATCCCCAGGAACACTTAACAGCTGTGTTAAACAACATCTACATCTCAGAGATCCAAAACCACTCTCAAACCAAATAAAAGGTTCTCTGCTCTGTGCTAAGACACAATGCGTCATAGATTCTGAGGGAATTGTAAACTGACCAGATGACTTTATGTTGCTTATTAGGCTCTAAACATTCAGTGCCCAGCGCAAGCTGCTCGTGGAGAGCAGCCACTCACATGTGGGTATTTGGTAAGGTCATATCTTGGTAGTGTTGGTGGGGAAGTTTTCACCAGCTGGCTTGGTCTGTGGATGCTGAACCTCCCACAGAAAGGCTCTGTTCCACTGACAACGTGTCCTGTGGTGATGATGTTCTTCATATCTGACAGGTATAAAAAAAAATTAAATTAGAGGTTTCAAAGTGATTCAGAAGACACCAGTGCAGTCAAGATTCATGAAAATGCAACAAGTGGGCATCCAGAAATTGTCAAACAGTCCTACTCTGAGAATTCTCCTAACAGAGTTCAAGTGTTTGCACAACACTCTCAGGAACAGATTTCTGGGGCTGTCCTGTACAGGCCCAGGAGCTGGATTTGATAATTTTTGTGGGTCCCTTCCAACTCTGGATATCCTACCTTATTATATTGATCATGTTGTTTTTAATGCATACACACAACTAATAGATGAGAAACATGAATATGTACTTATACCCATTAAAAGTGTAAATTTCCCACCAGTAGAAGTTTAAAAAACATTTATGCCATAAAAGCAGATCAAGTCTCACAATAAATGCTGCTTATTTGCCACAGAACTTCCCTACCTTCTTTCTCAAAACCACAGTGGAAAAGGATTTTAGCAGAAGTTGGCTCAGTTTCACATCCTACTGAAAGGAGTTCTTCTATTGCTGCTTGCACCTTTAAATAAATTCAGAAAGTGGAAAGCAGTCAGTTACAATCATTCCAGCAGAGACTTCAACACACATCATCATTTCATTTTTCATCAGCCAGGGATCAGTGGCACAGCAGCTCTGAACAACCAGGTAGCCAAATATTGAAAGAATAAAAATGTTAAATAATAATATAACAAAATTAATCTCAACAGAGTGTAAACTTTTATGTTTACATAAAAGTTTTCAGGGGTGTGAGACATCCTCAGTCTAATGACTGCCATGGAGCCATCACTCAGGGTCCCTTTAATATTGACAAATTAACAATCAAGACATCAAGAGCCACATCAAGAGCCTAGGGACCATACAACACCCATCTGGCCTTAGAGAAGAAGTCCAAGGATCTAGATCAACGAAAGTCCAAGATATCTGGATGTTGTGATAAGCTTAGAATATACCTGGGAGTTAAGGCTCAAGAAAAAAAAAATAATCCCATTGTAAGATATTCTCAGGAGAAAAAAAAAAATCACCTCTACATCACATAAACTTTATCTCAGCTTCTGGGCCAAATCTTAACTTCTGTCAAGCACCAGAGCTCCACCAATTCCCAGCAGAGGACCCTGTATTTGTGTTTAATGGCACCTACCTGGTGGGCTGTAGCATTTGTGGGGATCATTCTCAGGGTGTTGTTCCAGGAGATACTGAAATAACCTGTACCAGACACAGTCAACATCTGGGAGAAAATTAGAAGTAAATCAAGAAATGAAAACAGATGCAAACTGCATGAGACACACATACTTCAAACCTGGAAACTTCAACTGAGGAGGATTTTACAGCACTTTGCCTTTTTAAGCCTCTGTGAATCAGGGATCCCTTCCAAGAATCTCTTCAGCTGCTCTTAAACTGTCCCTGTCCTACAAGGAACAGGATTCTTACATTAACAAGAGAACAAGGGATTTGTGACCCGTGCAGCTGCAGATGGCCCCTAAAGCTCCTGACCTGCAGGAGTTTAACCATTAGGAAAAAACTTCCCTCATTCCTGAGTGTTTACACACACCCACCAATGTATGCAAAAACCTCAGACAACTTCGGCTCACGATGCTCTTCTCATCAGCTGTCTCAGGAGGTTGCAAACAAGGTGGAAACACACATTTTTCTCACATCTGGCACCAGCAAGGCAGTTGCAGGCAGCACTGACCTGCACTTCTGGGAGGTGCGAGGCTCGAGCCCGAATTTCGTGCCTCTCGGTGTAGTAGCTGTTCACCACACGGGAGTCCAGCCACGTGTTGTGAACCTGGACTCCAACTCTCATCCCTTTGCTGGGTGTCTTGGCGTGATGCAGTGCTTCCAGGTAGTACCTTGAACCAGCAGTTAGCTCAAATTTCTGGGATTTGGGCTGCCAAAGTTCACTCCAGTTCTTCACCCAGTTCTCAGACCACTCGGAGTTGCCAGCAGGGAGAGAAGCAATTCTCACCTGCGTGCAGAACAACAAAATCACACAATTACAGAATGGTTTGGGCTGGAAGGAACATCAAAAACCATCTCATTCCACCCCCTGCCATGGGCAGGGACACCTTCCACTATCCCAAAGTGCTCCACGCCCTGTCCAGCCTGGCTTTGGACACTTCCAGGGATCCAGGGGCAGCCACAGCTTCTCTGGGCACTCTGTGCCAGGGTCTCCCCACCCTCACAGGGAAGAATTTCGTCTTCATATCCAATATAAACCAACTTTCTTTCAGTTTGAAGCCATTAAACCCGTTAGTAACATTTCTCCATCCCCAAATAACATTTACTCCAATGCCACAGCTGCAAAAATTAAAAATCAAACAGCATATTTGTATTTATAACCAATAGCTGTGGGTTGATGGCTCACAAAATTCCTTCCTATTATACAGGAAAAAGCCACAATCTCAAAAAAACTTTGGTTTAAGGTTCAATACCGTAAAGAAGATAATTTCTATGGCTTACTCTAGCACTAATAACAGTTCCCCAAATAACTTTCCATGGATGGCTTCAGTTCAGAAAGAAATATGCTGAACCAACAAAAAAAAATCTTCTGGAAAAGACAATCAACAACTCAACACTCTTGCTCTGGTTGCAAGAGTGATTTTTTGTAAGAGCTATATAATGGACAGGGAGGGATGATGTAAAATATCAAAAATAATTACACAGCTTTGCCTCTGTAATAGATTCATAAAAGATAATAAACCAGTCCACACTGGGGAAATTCCTGCTTGTTATCACCTTAATTAAAATCCTTTCCATCCTCATTTTAAATTTCCATTTCTCTCATTTTTTTTTCTACCAGTAATAATACCTTCTGGTTTGGATCTTGGGACAAACTTAAGTAGAGAGATGCCTGACCATCTGCCTGAATCCAGAAGGTGTAATTGTTGGTCTGAGGAGCCACAAAAAACCCACGGAGTCTGGAGCTGAGCAAAAACAGAACATCCATAATATACAAAACAGTTACAGAAAAAAAAACCCAAAACAACAAACCTCCCCACACCCCACCTTCACATGTACACTGAGTAACAAGAAAACATCTTTAAACCATTTTAACAAAACAAGCCTTGTTATTTTAAAGATGAAGTAACCTCAAAATGACCCAATTTCACATTAAATGTCAATTATGCTTTACAAAAGTTTCAAAAAGGAAAGAAAAAATATGAAACTAAACATGATTTTGTTGGAGGCCACTTCAGTGCATTTCTTCTCAAACAGAGTCTTAACCCTGAACATGCAGGAAAAAGCCAAAACCAGACTCAGAATCAAACAACAAAAACAGAGAAGTGGTAGAAAAATGTAAGAATTCATGCACTTTGTGCAATTTTTCATGGTCATATCTGGAGAGGTAATGGGAACCAACACAGTTCAGGAATTTATTTATTTGTATTAACTCCACCTTTGCTGCCAGCATGGGCTGAGAATCTGCCCCTCCACATCTGGCCAGAGCTGTAGCCCAAAATAACCTCAAACTGGAGCTCCTTCCACTTCCAGAGTAAATCTTTTGGTGGTATTTCAGCATATCTAGGCCAGGTAGAGCAGAATTACTGAGGGAAGGCAAAAGGAGGAAAAAATAAAGCACTTCACTGCATATTTTAAGCTTCAAAAGGACCTCGGAGCAAAGGGTTTGCTTTGATTTATAGGAGCTATGCAGTGAGGCTCTGCTATAAAGAGCTGTCAGGTGTTTTTGCTACACCTTACACTGCTAAAGGTGATTGCCATGGCTTCATCTCTTTTTAAGATCGCTGAGTACCTGAAGGACTTCTTTGCCCCAGACAGAAACCTTACTGGGGAGCTGGCATTAGGTACAAACTGCCATCTGTATCCAGGACCTGCTTCTGTCAGATCAGAGGCATCATCCCAGACTTCAAAGAGAAGCCCTCTGTTTCCTAGAAAGTTAAAACAAAAGTATTCTCAGCAGCAGCCAGCAGAAATCCCAGAGCACATGCTGGAATCAGTGCTGTAGGAGGCAGGCCAGAGAGAAAATTTTAATAATAAATTGGTTCTGTTTGTGGGGTATTTTGCAGTCTAAGGCAGAACACAAATCTCGCCATGGGGAATTTGTTTTACCTTGAAACCCTCCAACATAAATAACAAAACACTGCAGAGAGAACATCCAACCTGCTCACATGTCTGCTCTTGCAGGAAGAGGCACTGAGACGACCCACAGTCAAAGTTAAGCCTCCTTTTATCCACTAAAATCTCCTACTGCAATGCTCCACTCAAGGAGTGTCCCCAGAAGCCTCTGCAATAACTCCAGTTCAGCCATCCTTCCTCTAAATGTTTTCCATGCCTTTTTCCCCTCATTTTCCATGTCCATGCACACCAGTCTGACCTTCCTCCCACCCTCCTGTCTGCTCGTGGTGGGCTGAGCTCTCCACCTTGGTTTTCCTGGCTACAGAATCACAGAATGGTTTGGAAGGGACCATTCAAGTTTATCCAGTCCAACCTCCCACCACGAGCAGGGACATCTCCAACCAGAGCAGGTTGCTCAGAGCTGCACCCAAACTGGCCTTGAATGTTTCCAGGATGGAGCATCCACCACCTTTCTGGGCAAACTGTGCCATGGCCTCCCCCACCTCACTGTAAAAAAATACCTCCCTTAGAAACAATTTAAATAGACCCCTTTTTAATTTAAAACCATCACCCCCTGCCCCATTACTAATAAAATCTATGTCCATGTGTCTGAATGCCCCCTTTAGTCACTGAAAGGGGCTCTCAGGTCTCCCTGGAGCCTTCTTTTCTCCAGGCTGGATAACCCCAGCTCTCTCATCAGTCTTTCCTCATAGCAGAGGTGCTCCAGCCCTTGGATTATTTGTGGCCCTCTTCCCTACCACCCCAAAATTGATGTTGAAGCAGACAGTGCTTTGGAAAGCCCTGTTTCTTGATTGCATTCATCACCAAAGGGTTCCTGCCCTGCATTTCTCTGTGTGTTTGCATTTGGAGCTCCAGGAGCAGCTCACCTGGCTGGGGGGCTCCGAGTCTCCTGCCCTCGCCAACAGCCTCAGTGGTGCATCTGATTTCCCAGGGAGAGACGTGCTTGACTTCACAGGGAACACCTGGCAGCAGGGAAAGGAGACAAAGGTGCTGTGGGAGACTTGGAGTCACAGCTGAGCTGCAGCACAAACACATCTCAGAGTCATGGAGCGATTTGGGTAGGAGGGGACCTTACAAACATGTAATTCCAAGCACCTTTCTACGGACAGGGTCACCTTCCACTAGACCAGGTTGATCTGTTGGAGCTCCTTTAGGAACTGGAAAGTGCTCCAAGGTCTCCTTGGAGCCTTATTTTCTCCAGTTGATACTAAAATATTTTAAAATCATAGAAAAATCGGGGAGTTAGAAAGAAAGCTACGCTTAGTAGGCCCTGGGAAAATGTTAAAAGTAGGCCCTGGAAAATATTAGACCTTGTGTTTTCCACATCATGTGAAATTGCACCTTCGTAACCAGTATATGATAAATGATATAATTGTTAGATGTGATGATTGTTTAGATATAATTATTGTTTGATGGTAAGAAGAATCATGAGAAACTATGTTCAAGGGTTTGGGGGGGGATCACGAGAAACCTATGCTTGGATGAAATAAATGCATACAATAGAACAATGTAAGTTTAATAATTAATATGTAAGTTATATAACAATAGAATATGAAAACATGTTCATCCCGAACCCATGGCGGAGTCAGATTTGGGTCTGCACCCCTGACACCCAGAGCTCTTCAATAAAAGCACCTGCATATAATCATGCCCTGATTATGTGTTCCTGAAGGCAAACACAGTCTGAACAACCCCATCTCTCCCAGCCTTTCCTTATGGTATAGGTGTTCTAACCCTCTGATCATTTTTGTGTCCCTCCTCTGGATTCATTCCAACAGGTCCATGATTTTCCTGTGCAGAGGACCCTGGATGAGGTACTCTGGGTGGGGTCTCACCAGAGCAGAGAGGCAGAATCCCCTCCCATCCACTTTGTTCCCAAAAGGCATCAACATTTTGCCACAAGCCTGGGCTGGTACTGCCAGCAAACAGAACAGTTCATGCCCACAGTCAGAAAAACTGGAGCTTCCTGGAGGTGTGTAGTGGCTTTGGTTTGCCAATTTGAGATATTTTGGTTAATTTATTAATGAGTGTGGTGTGTTTAGTGTTGGTTAATTACTAGTGTATTTATTAGGATGTATTTACTCATTTCCTGCTGTGAGGTAGGACTAGGAGAAAGGTAAAGTAGGTTTAAAACTTTAAAAAGGTATGAAGAGAAATTTAACAATAGTAACTCAAAGAAAAAATAATAAGAATTAAAACTTTTAGGATACTTCTCCTCCCCTTACAACTTCTTTTTTCTTAATGACAATGCAAAGAAACAAAACCTACAATTTTAGTTAGTTTACTACTTCTAGAACAGTTTTTCTTTAGTTTATTTAGGGAGAGAAGTCTCTCTTGTTAATGTTACAGAGACTTCTCTACAAGAAAATAATTTTCTTGTATCTCTTTTTGTGAATAGCAGCTGACCAGGGAAACATGTAATCATGAACTTCTTTCTCATTTTTCCATAAGCTTTTCTCACAGCTGTGTTTATGGGCTGTGTTAACTTATGGGGTAGTGTTTTAAAGATGAGTTGTCTAAGGGTAAAGGTTCTCATTATCTATTTGTATCACTTCTGTAAATGCCTCCCATGCAAAACAAGCTTGGGGACACGGTGAGTCCTACAATTCCCACACTGGTACCCCTGAACATCTCTTGGGTTTTGCAGTCAGGGCCAAACTGTATTTAAAAAAAAAAAAATAGAATTCACATGTCTCTGCTCTTACCTGCAGCAGTGACCTGCACTGGCTCCTCAAAGAAATCCCCAGTGACAGTGAGATCAGTGCCCCCAGCCAGGCTCCCTCCAGCTGGGAACACGGAGAATATCTCTGCAGGGGAAGGAAAGAGGGATCTGGGCACAAGCCTTGCAGAGGTGAATCCCAGCCCTGTTTCTGGGAAAGCCTGCACTGCTTCCAGCCAGAGCAGGCTGCTGTGGATGAAACCAGCTTCTCGCTGATCCCTTTTTTTGGCAGCCTCTGGGATGACACCAGGAATGAGCAGCATGGATAATTTGGCCACATGGCAGGGGGAACATGGCAATGTTTGGGCTGTTACTTAGCAGGGGCTGCATCTGTCATGCTCAGATTGCAAACTGCTCTGTTCTGTGCTATTGAGGGAGAAAAAGAAAGCAAAAAAAAAAAAAAAAGCCAGAATTAAAACTGTTTTAATCCTCTTGACCTTCTCTGGCTCACATTTCAACGCAGTCCTTAGGTTTAAATTGGACACTCTTTCCAATAATCCCTCAGACTTCAGGGACAAATGGAGGGAGCAGTGTCCACATCATGACCATGGGATCCTTTCAGGACTTTATCTGTTACAAGTGTGCCATTCCACAATAAAACTATTTTTCTTTTTGATGAAATTACCTACTTTGCACTCATATTGGAGTTTAACCATCCAGTCTGTAAAAAAAACAGACTAATGGGAAAAGGATGAGGGATTTTATTCTATACCTGCAACTTTATTTGTAAATTCACCTGGTATTTAAACACTAATTTTACAGTATTTACTACTGACTAGCACAGTACTGTCTACTGGACAGATCTATCAGATCTTTCTGTTCATGCTCTGCCCACAGCCAACTTCATACATGGTTATTTCATTTCACTGTGCTTTAAATTGTAAATAGAGACATAAAATTAGTCTTGTTAACAAAGAGTTGTTTACAATACAACTTGAAATGTCACATGCAGGTTATTTTTAAGCTACCTTAAATAATTTTTTTAACTAATGGTGCAGTACCCTGCTGTTCACTACTTACCCAGAACTCAATTCTTGGAGCAGCTGAACATCTCCTCCCTGTAGCCAGGGAGGAGGTGATGCATCCTGAGGTCTGCATTTCCAAAATTTCAGCCTCAATAAATACAGAGTGATTTAAGGGGGAAAAGTTTCCCTATGAGCAATACCTCTGATCTGAGAGAACAAGGAACAATGCACATAAATCTGGTTGTCTCGTAATTTTTATCTGCAGCTTTTTGCTTAGTCAAGCCCATGCCAGGGGAGTGGAGCACCAAAATGAGGACAAAGCAGGATTACATCCCTGGGAAAAGCAACAGTGAGAGGTGTTTTCTCAGATCACACTGGGACTGATGGAGGACAGTGCCAGTGAGGTGGATCAGGGAATACCTGGATGAGTCTGGTACAGGAAAAGTTCCTGTTTGGCACTGATGAGCCAAGCACCTTTGTGCACTGCTGACCTGCAAGAGAGAAAATGTCTGAGACATCCTGGGCCATGTAAATAAAAGCAGACCTTCATTTGGCAGGGCTGGACTCTCCAGAGGAGCAGTGGAACATTTCTGCAAGCTTCAACAACTCCTTTCACCAGCACATTGAGGCATTGATTCATGAGACCCCATTAAATGGCTGAAACACTTTATTAGAAGTACTAGCACATTGTAAAGTATGTTTTGACACAGTCAGAACCTGTTTTCACCTCCTTTAATGGTTAAATTCTTTCCCATTTGGATGAATAGTTCAAAGCAAGGTGAAAGGTTTTAATTCAGCTAGATTTAACAGAGCACAGAATGGTTTGGGTGGGAAGGGATGTTAAAGAATATCCAGTCCTATCCCCTGCCATGGGCAGGGACACTTTTCACTATCCCAGGTTGCTCCAAGCCCCATCCAACCCGGCCTAGGACACTTCCAGGGATCCAGGGGCAGCCACAGCTCCTCTGGGCACCCTGTGCCAGGGCTTCCCCCTCACAGGGAAGGATTTCTCCCTAATATCCAATCTGAATCCATCCTCCTTCAGCCATTCCCCCTTGTCCAATATAAAATGTCTTATGTTCTGGCCACTGAAGGTAAAGTATAAAATACCAAAGTGGAAATACTTTGGGGAGAAACATTCTTCCATGTCTTTCCAAATCTGACAATCATCTCCTCAAGACAACAAACCTTATTTCTGAGCAACGAAACACATGATAAGGTAAAAACAGAATTCACTCATCCTGGACTCAAATGCAGCTCTATTCCCATGCAAAACCAGAGGAAAAGAGAGAAAAGATTCTTTTACTCACTTTCCTTTGTTAAACACCGAGAAGCTGACATTGTGGGACCCTGGGGGAGAGAAAAGTGACAATGCTTTCAGGCAGGAGTATGAAGTAAATCCTACCAAACGTTGTCCAGGTTCTCTGGGCCCAAGTCTCCCTTCTTTATTCTTTCCTTACAACAGTAAGGAAAATCTATTTTACATATTTAACTCACAATATCTTTCCCAAACAGGAAGGCTGGATCTCAAAACCTCCATAAGAAATTATAAGCTTCTTCAGGGTGCTTGGAAGTGAGGAAAAATTAAAGGGGTCCCACCTGCTACTGGAGACTGTGACTAGAAGGGAACAACTGATTTATTCCTCTAATAAAGTGCTAAAGGGAAGGTACACCACAGACAAGAAGGATTAAAGTAGGAAACTCAGCAAAGACCCCAAATCCCACTGTTGGCTGTCAGCAATGCCCACATCACGTCATGGTTTCCCTCCATGCTCTCCCAGGCTGTGCAGAGGACACAAACCAGGGCAGGGGCTGTGCTGAATGCTGGCAAGCCTTGATCTGAAGCGGCTTTTATGGACTCAGCCCTGAGCCACATTCCAGTTTGGAAACAGAACAGGAACTCATGACAGACACACTCCTCCCTGCATCCTCTGGAGCTGCAGGAATGACAGAAACCCATGGTTTTTGCCCCTTTCCACCAACCTATGTGGTTGCCTTCCACCCGGCACTGCAGGGTCCCCAGTCCATCCTTCACCTGAATGGGGTAACTGTGGAGAGACAAAGGACTTCACTGACAGATATGCTGGCACTACATCAACCCTCTGGAGTCATGGAATGACACAATTCCCACCATTAACTCACATTTATGTTTAAGCAGTTGAAGCTGCAGAAAGCCAGCAGCCCTCACCCACCCCATCACAGACCACAACAACCCAGGGCCCATCTCCACTTTAAGCCAAAGCAGAAGAGTTTCTCCAAAAGGCACAAATACTTTTGTGCACAAGCTGTGCTGAACCCTTGCACCAACAAAAAACCCAAAGTAAACAAGAACTGACGTGGTTCCAGCTCTTCTGTCAGCAAAAGAGCAGAGACTGGTCCATCCATCTCCTGATGTAAGAAAAGCTGGCCTGGGCAAAACATAAACAGGAAAGATATGATGTGATACAGATGAAAACCTGATCCTGTCAAAATCAGCAGCCAGTATCTTCCCAAGGGACAGGAATGTTCTCCCACTTGTATCTAACATTTATTAACCTTCTAGAAAATGGGACATGCCCTAATCTCTCATCTCTGCGCCTGCAAATTGCATTCCCCAATTACTGTGGGAGCTGCAGCTCTGTGGGAGTGCAGCAGAGCCCTCTTGGAGACACCTCATGTCAGCCCTGAATGATCCAATCCCTCCTCCCTGAGAGCAACAACTTCCAGCAGAAATCACCCAAGCTCCTAATAAAAAAACTTAAATATGTGTTCCTTAAAGGATCAGTATGGGACAACTTCCATTGGAGAGGAGGAAGAAGGTGAGAGGAATAAATTCAGGGTAATTAGCAGAGTAAGCAAAGGCTGGCAATGATTCATTGAGAATTAACAGCCAATTAAAGGAAATAGGTAATTAAAACCTGTAATGCAAACACTTTGTGATGACCCATCCCTCAGAATGCAGTGTTATGAGGTTTTTCTAAAAGAGCTTGCTTTTATTAATACAGGTGGCTGATACTGAGAACCTTTCCTTTTAAGGAAGACTAAAAAAAATATCAGTGCTGCCAAATGTTTGTTCAGCACCACTGAACCAGTGCATCCCATACAGAGCCTGGAAAAAGGAGCAGAACACACTTGAAGCATAAAAACCATTCCCTTTTTTTTTTTTTTTGCTCCAAATCCTGAATCACCGTGACTGAGTGACAGACTGCTCTGGTCAAGTCCAAGTCCCCACCTGGTACCTATTTCCTAACACACCAAAAATGGGCAAATAATTCATGTGAAGCTACAAAGGGAACCTGTCTGGTATGCTGGGATTTTGAGGCCATTTCCTTTTGGAGAGGCTGGGCTGTAAATGAGTAATCTGGCAGCAGAGCACTGCAGGCACGTCCAGCCTGCACTCAGAGCAGCCTTTCTTCCCTCTCATCAAAGGTTCCAGGACTCCACCAGAAGCAGGTAAAACAATAATTGATCCCAAACAAAGGATGCTGATGTGCACAGCATAGGGATGGCATGGCAGGAATCTGCTCTGGACTTTCCTTCATGCCAGCAGGGATTTTAATCACTTAGCAAGGGACATTTCCAATCAGCTTGAGAAGTCATTAAAATATATGTCAATGTTAAATATCTGATGCTTCAATTAAAATTTCTAACTACTGAGAATACACTCCTTTCCTGGCTCCTGAAATGATCCTTAAACTGCCAGCAGAGTAACTATGGATTAATAGTTTATCTTTAAAATACTTACCTGGGCTTAGTTCTTCACTGCCACGGGCACAGAAATCATAAATTAACATTTGGTAACATATCTATACATATGGAAATACATATGACACACAGCAGGACAGTGTTGATGCTCATTTTGGATTCACTGTGTTTAAAGGAGCTGCTGTCCTAAAATAAGATTTTTTTAAACCTAGCTGCTTTTCTCTGTTGCACATAACCACAGAAGCAACATTAAAAAAAAAAAAAAATCAAACCTCTGAGAACAAGAAAACAACTACAGAGTGTTTAAAGCAGTGAACAACAAAGCCTTTTGTCTCAAAATACTTCTCTTTTGTCTTCTGGTTCACCAGAGCATCTGCTTCAAACTAATAGGGTTTTTTCTTAAAAAAACAAAAGGCAAATGGAAAGGGGAAAATTTATTTAACTTTTCGGCTCTGACATTATTTTAATTAGTTAAATTTTAATTTGCTAGCCAAAATAAAATCTACAGCAGCCAGCTGCAATTACAGTGCAATTCACACTGAGTTGTGATTGACTGTGCTGCCAGTAAACAAACCAACCAGCTTAATGGACCAGTTGCAATTAGATTAACAAAGTTTGCTGGAGCCCAACTCATGAGCTGCAATAAACCACAAAGGAAGTAAATGGCAATTCTGGGCCAACTGGTTGCAATTTATTGCTGTGGAGGAGGCTGATGGAAGAAATGCCAATTTACAGGGACTGCAGCAGATAGCTGAGTGTTCATAATTACCCATCAATATAATCCACGTTGAAGTCCAGGGTCTCATATCTGCCAGCAATTGTCTTCCCATTAATCTGTATTAAATTTCCTGTTTAAGAGGAAATGGAAATTGAAGAGTCTTTTAAAAGCAGAGAACTTATTTGCAAATTTTCAGAGCTGAACAAAAGGAATTAATGGTCTTTACATATTTTGCAGAGGTTCCTGCACTGAATGTATATTCTCAGCTTTTACCATGGCTCAAGATGATTTCGCACTTAATTCACTTTTCTCAAAGCACATGTCTTTGTTTCCCACCAAAAAACCCAAATTCATTCCAAAGTTTTTTGCAGCTCTGTATTTGGACAGAGCTGACAATTTTTCCTCAATTATTTTGCTAGCTAAACCCCACTTTCTAACCCAATTCCACTGTAGAACCTCACAAGACAACCAAAATTACATCATTTGTACACCAGACAGGGTGAAGGTCTAAAGAAGGTGAAACATCCATCCAGCTAACACATAGAAACCTCCATACTGACACCCTAAAGCAAGGTACAAGAATCTAGAGCTGAACTACACCTGAAAACAATCAGAAATTAGGGATTGATTTGGAATGAGGCGCTTCTGTGTGATATAACCTCCATGTGACTGTCTGAATTCTTGAAATACCAAAGTCTTTTGATCAATCTTGACTTTGAGGATCAAACTTTCAATTTTCCCTAAAGAAATCCGGAAATAAAAAATAATAGAAATGGGGAGGGGGGGTAAATCTGTCATATTCCAGTTAATTTTTCAGACCAAAATCAGTGAATGACTTCTCATGTAACTTTAAAATCTAAAACCCCAATAAGCAAAAGGTCTGTATGGCAGTACAGACTAAAGAAAGGTCCCATACCTGGGGTGCCAGATGATGGATTAATTTGGTAAACCACAGGTGTCTGCTCAGCTGAGAACTGCAAAGAGAAATTTGCAGTGCAAGGTCAGCAATTTCTGCAGCAGTCCAACCCCACCTGAGGGTGCACTGCTCACAACCCAGCCAGCAGCTGCATTTCAGAGACTCACACTCTGATCTTTGCAGCAGATTCCTGCTCTGGGAAAGGAGTAAGGAGTTACTCCCCTCTTACCCCCTCTCCATTCACAGTCTGGATTAGTGATATTTTTACATCTTTTGTGCCCAAATTGCCCATCCTGGCTTGATCCAATGTCAGAAGACACAGTTTAATACACTATCAAATTTCTAAGTCATGCTTCAGCTGAAGTTAAAACCTGCATTTTATCTTGGATGGTGACACCATTTTTTCTTCCTAATAGTATATCCTGTAGAACAATTCCATCATCATAGATGTGAAATACTTCAGCCACTCTTTGGCAAGTTTGTTGTACCCTAAAGCAGTGAGGCAAAGACTTTGTCTTGGCCCATCTTACAGCAATACAACAGAAATTTTTTGAGAAAGGACCGCCTCTCAGGAAAAAAACCTTGGAAATCATCAAGTCCAACCATTAATCCAACACTGCTAAATCCAGTAAAACTTATCCCCAAATGCCACATCTGCACGGCTTTTCAATCCCTCCAGGGCTGGTGACTCCACCACTTCCCTGGTGTTTGACAATCTTTTGGGGAAGAAATTTTCCCTAATGTCCAATCTAAACCTCCCCTGGTGCAACTTGAGGCAATTTTCTTGTTCTGCATCTTGTAACTTGGGAGAAAAGGCCAACTCACACCTGGCTGCATCCTCCTGTCAAGGAGCTGTGGAGAGTGAGGAGGTCCTCCCTGAGCCTCCTTCTCCAGGCTGAGTCCCCCCAGCTCCCTGAGCTGCTCCTCATCAGATTTTGTGTTCCAGACCCTTCCCCACCCTTTTTGGACATGCCCATCTTCCCCACCTCCTTTATGAGCCCCCTCATGACCTCATTGGCACTTACAGATGCTGCTCACAGCCCAGTAAATATAATCAAAATTTAATTTGTTGCATTAATTCAAAGGTACCACTGCATACATTGGGGTTTTTCCTAAACTTTCCTCGAAAAGCTTCCCTTCCAGAGCTCAGCCTTTGCCTTCCCTCCTACTCCTGGTCATGTTAAAAGTGAATGAGCAGCCACAAACTTCCACCAGCAGTGGCCGCTTCTGGGGAGAAAGGGCAACATCACACCACACTCCCAAGTTGGAGAAGATGTGAAGAAAGAAGCTAAAAGCAGCATGAAATTGGGGCCACTGGCTGACACGAGTCTTGTGAGCTGCTCAGACTTGTTGGTGCCTGCAGCAGCTTTTCCAATCTAATGCAGAGGCAAAATTAATTTTAATACATGTAGCTCCCAGGGCCCAGCCCCAAACAAAGAGACACATTGTGGTTTATTTAGCTTGGAATGTGCCTCATTAACAGCATCCCCTGGTGATTTTTCATCAGCTCTCTAAGCTAGCTGAACCACCCAATGACTCTTCAGCTTTAATGTGCAATTTACTGAAAATGCTGGGTTTTTTGCTCAAAGTTAGCACGGAGGTGGGATGTGACTTTCAAAAACACCAGGCCTCATCCCAAAGCACACAGTCATGGTTAAGGATTCTGCTCTGCAAGAGATCACAGAATCCCAGAATGGTTTGGGTTGGAAGGGACCGTAAAGACCTTCTCATTCCATGCCCCTGCCATGGGCAGGGACACCTTCCACTATCCCAGTGGCTCCAAGCCCCGTCCAGCCTGGCCTGGAACACTTCCAGGGATGGGGCACCCACAGCTTCTCTGGGCACCCTGTGCCAGGGCCTCACATTACAGAGGTTTTTCTCAAACATCCAATCTAAACCTGCTGTCTTTCTGTTTGAAGCCATTCCCCCTGGTTCTGTCTCTAACATGCCCTTGCAAAAAGTCTCTCCCCACCTTTCTTTAGCTTAGGGTTGGAATTGAATGGTCTTAGAGGTCCCTTCCAATCCAAACCATTCCATGACTCCATCCATTTCAATGTATTTCCTGTGACACAGTGCTGAAGCTTCACTCCCTTCAGTACTTTGAATTCTTTATCCTCACTTCTGCACTTGCTTGGTGATTACCTTGAAAGAATAGTTTTCCTTCTCCACCTCAGTCAGGTTGTTAATCACATGCCCTTTAAAGATCGCCTCCACGTAGTACAAACCCTCCTGGGGTGAAGACCTAGGTGGAAGAAAATGTGTATTATATTTTTATACAAATTGTGTTTAGAAAATGCCAAGTCCTTTACAAAATCTCTGTTCAGAGCAAGTCCACTGAGACTTCCATAGAGAAAAGGAGTTTTACACTGTCAGCCCAAACTTCACACATATGAAGACAAACTTTAAAATAACAATTTAAAAGAAATGTGGAAGCACAGCAAGAAATCACAGTTAAGAGCAGAAGGTGACAGGACTGCATCAGAACTCCACTTAAATTATAGTTAATGCAAAATACAAGCATTCTCATTAGGCATGTACAGACAATAATTGTTATTCATTAGTAATAAAATGAATCCCTGGATCTGCAGGGCATCTTGATCCTGGTCCATAAATTAATGCTGCATCCTTGTTTCACAGTTTTCCAGCACAGAACCCAGCAGAATTAACTCCCAGCCAAATCATAGCAGCAAAATATGGAAGAGTCCCTCTTCAAACACCCCAGTCTTCCAGTCCAACCACCTGTGTGAAAGCTATGACAGGATAGAAAACAGGCAGCTCAAACTGCCCAGCTGGTGCTTGGAACCATATTTATTTCCTGTTCCGTTCATAACTCCTCTCTATCACCTTGGACATGTCAAGGACACCAAAAGCTGGTAGAATCTCTTCCAAGATTTTCTTGGGAGTTTTGCATCTGAGAGCTAGATGTCTACAAACCTCTGAAGGTCTGAGCCTGGACTGCCCAAGAAGCTTCACTGTGACCCTCATGCCTCAAGGAATCCTTGTGCTTCATGAAGTTAAAACAAAAATCAATCAACCCAGGTTAGCAGGTGCTCAGTGAGGCCACAGCGTGAGGATTTTTGAAGGAATTCTGAATGAGTTAGAGACAGGATTTCTGAGCCATTTTAAATAATGTGATTTATTTTTCTTATCTTCTACATAAGCAAGAAATGTGAGTTCAACTCACGTCTTCACCACATGGCTCAGAAGGTCACAAGACCTCTAGTAACAAGACCTTTTAAAAATGTATTAACCAATAAAACACTATCAGCAAGGATATTTATACTTTTAACGCAATCCTTAAATATAATGTTTTATAGACTCATACTACAGTGTAAATTTTCTTAGTCAATCATGTTATAACACAAAAATATACTCTATGGTACTACATATAGTACTATAGTACTATACTATATATAATAGTATACTGTATAGTACTATACTCTAAAACTCCAAACCTTCCTCTACTTGAATTTAACATATATCTGTTTTTAACTATAAATCCACATTCTCATTTCTAATACCTCAATTTGGAAGCCTTTTCCAAATCCTAATACTAAATGTTGGCTTACAGGCCCAAAGTTCTGAGAATTCCCTACATTTCAGATAGGAATTCTTTCAGCTCCCAGATTTCCTGTGCAGACACTGAAGGAAAAGGAGGATCCTGTTTGACAGAGGGCAAAGTCTCACTCACAGTGTAACTATGGGTCATACCTTGTTCTGCACCTTATGGTGGGCAAGTCCAAATACAGAGGAGAGACATCACACGGCAGCCTGGGCAGGTCAGGATGCACCAGGGACACCTCCAGCTGGGATGCACTGGCTGGAGAGAGAGATTCTACCTGGTGGGATGTTGAGCCTAAGCAAAAAAGTCAGTCAGAAGAGCTTTGTGAAGGCAGGGTCACTCCCAGTCACACAAGGAGCATTTTTGGATGTACAACTCAGCTTGTCTAGGAATAATGTTTAGAGTCCTTGATCAGGCTTTTTAAAACCACGTTTGTGGAATTTCATGTTGTGGTGGTTTAACCCCAGTTGTCAACTCAGCCCCACACAGCCACTCACTCACTTTCCCCACAGGGGCATGGGGGAGAGGATTGGAAGACAGAGGGCAAAGTCTCACTCACAGTGGAACTATGGATCATACCTTGTTCTGCACCTTATGGTAGGCAAGTCCAAATACAGAGGAGAGACATCACACGGCAGCCTGGGCAGGTCAGGATGCACCAGGGACACCTCCAGCTGGGATGCACTGGCTGGAGAGAGAGATTCTACCTGGTGGGATGTTGAGCCTAAGCAAAAAAGTCAGTCAGAAGAGCTTTGTGAAGGCAGGGTCACTCCCAGTCACACAAGGAGCATTTTTGGATGTACAACTCAGCTTGTCTAGGAATAATGTTTAGAGTCCTTGATCAGGCTTTTTAAAACCACGTTTGTGGAATTTCATGTTGTGGTGGTTTAACCCCAGTTGTCAACTCAGCCCCACACAGCCACTCACTCACTTTCCCCCCAGGGGCATGGGGGAGAGGATTGGAAGGGTAAAAACCACATCCCCAACTGCATTTCCACACATTTTTAAATCCCCTTGGTGACTCTACCCCCACACTGGGCAGCCTGTGCCAGCTAATGACCATGCACAACTGATTCAGAAACCAACTGTCTTCACAATGAATAAATATTCATCACTGTGAAAAATTATACCTAGCATTGTACAGTTGGTTTGGGGCCAAAATGGATGTGACATACAATTTTCTGAAATTTTTACTTAGATCTCATGTTTATCATAAGAGTTTTAAAATGTTCCAGCATCACAGGACATATGAAGAGGGCAGATTTTTAGCTTTTCTTCAATAAAAGGGCAGGAGCAAGGAAGAAATTTCTAGCCCTATATCTGAAAAAATAAAGTAAACATTTTGAATTTTGTTCCTTACAAATAAACCTTCATCAATAGCTTATTAAGTCATCATTTCAAGCTGATTTCATGCTATGAGTGTCATAGCCTATGGCTCTGTGGGGTAGGCTTTGTCACTCCAACCACAAACCTCAGAAGGGAGCTGATTATCTGTTATTTTTACATCCCTGGAAGTGTTAAAGATCAGGTTGGACAGGGCTTGGAGCAACCTGGGATAGTGGAAGGTGTCCCTGCCCATGGCAGTGGGGTGGAATGAGATGATTTTAAAGACCTCTTTCAATCCAACCTTTCTGTGATTCCATTTCAACACACACTTCATAAGAATTCGAAGCTCACCATCCAGAGTGATGGTAATCCATGTTCCCCCAGCAATGCTCCCCTCGTGGGGCTTCACAAGTGATCCTGAGGCTGTCCCTGCAAAACAAACCAGCTCCATCAGGCTGAAGGGAAATGCAAATATCTAAAAAACCTTATTCAGGATGAGACACAGTGACATGAGAGCTGTCTTCCTATGATCCCACCCTTCATCCCATTTCTCCTTCTCAAGAATCCAAATTAATCATGTTTCCCATCCTTTTCCCCCACCACTGCCCCCTGTTTACATCTCCCCTCAGGGAGGTGTTGATGCCCTTTAGGGCTTGGTGAACCAAGCTGCAGCCTGAGCCTCCTGTCATCCTCAAGAATTAAAGATGATAAACATCATTTTTATTCCTTCATCTCTCAAAGAAATGTGTTTGCTGACTTCTGTGCACCCTACCAAAATTAAGGATGCTGACAAAAAATATCCTTTTCTGGCTCCCAGACTTTCCTTCTGAAGTCCTTAGGAAAGACATTCAGGCCTGGAAAAGAGCTCCTGCTTCATGATGTTAATCACCTATAACCTGCTATGCCAGGCCTTTCATAAAGGCACTAAATTTCTTAGATAATTTAGGATTTATTTTGGATACCCTCATTCTCTAAAGCTGAGAGATAAACCATATATGGCTTCCTTTTATGCAGCCACTGACCAGAATTTTCCAGAAGTTATTTCATGGTGATGTCCACTTTCCTGATTAACATTTTAGGAGATTTCCAACTTCTTAGCTATATTTGGATGCAATCTGATCAAACATCAGTATTGATCACCAAAGCCAAATATTGGACACTTTTGCATTTCCCTTAATATCAACATGCAGAGAGTGACATATTTATCATCAAGTAAACAAAAAACAACAGGTATGGTATGAACTCAGAGAATTAAAAATTAATCCAGAAATCTCCTCTATTGCTATGGAAATAATGCCATGGAAAACCTATAATAAGGATGGACAATGTCAAATGTGCTACAGTCAATATCCCATATTTTTCAACACCTTTTAGAGGTTCTTCTCCACTACTTCACAGGCAGTCTGTATGCAATCCCCACTGGATTTTGCAGGTGTGGTCAGAGATAACACCTCTCTGTCACCCACCTGCCAAGAAAATCAGCCCAGCACTCAGCAGGAATGTTCTCCAAAGGTTCATCTTGAACACTGGATGAGGAATTTACAAAAGTCTGGCTCCAGGACCTTCCCTGTAACTTAAAAAAAAAAATTAAATAAATAAAATAAAAATCTGTATTCTTTGTTCTCATAGCAAATCTGCGGGAGCAATAGCTGTGAATTCTTTTAATAATTTAAGAATATTTTTACATTGCCCTGGTACTTGCAGACCAGGTCTTACTTGCTGTCATAGACAGAGATATCACACATTTCCTTTATAAAGTCCATGTCAGGAGCTGTTCTAACATTTAAAGACAGACTGTCAACTTCTCTTGCCTTCACCCTCAGTATGGAAAAAGCATGGGTGCATTAATTTAGCCACATTTTTAAATCACAAATTGGTTTTGGTTGGAAGAGATCTTAAAGATCACCCAGTTCCAACTCCTGCCATGGGCACGGACACCTTCCATCAGACCATGTTTCTCCAAGCCCCATCCAACCTGGTTTCTACTGATTATGGACCATGAGACCCACTGCAACCACTTTCAATTTCTTGCACATTTTAGCACACTGCAAAGTGCACGGCGCATAGTCCAGCACAAGAGAATGCTGCATTTCAATGCAGGTGCAGAAAATATAATTTGGATTTAATTTTGTTATTATTTTTAGGAGTTTTTCTGGCTTTACTTACCTTATTGAATTTGTTCTTCCTCCATTCCTCTGATGAGTGAAGTGCAGGGGCTCTGATACCAGCACAAGAGCTCCATCCCTTTGGCACCAGCTCTGTCACAGGTTTCAGGCTGGGGTTGTGTCACTCACTCTGCCCAGTGCTGAAACCCACCAGACAAGCTTCCCAAAAGGCTCAAATCCCATCACAGACAGCTCAGAGCTCTCCACTGAGGATGCTTAATTATTAACCTAAGCTACTTGCTGCTATTAACTGTTTTGTTCCAAGACTTTAATGACCATAACAAAAATAAACTGGGATTGTTCTTCCATTGGTATATGGTTAGGTCCTCCAATAGGAGGACAATTAATCCATTTTATCCTCTTTTTTTCCCTCCTACCACATGACAGAAAAAACATTTTCTTGATATGCTGTTATTCAGTCTGGGACTGACTTTCACAGCAAGTGGACTTCAAGGTTCCCTTATATATTATCAATTCAATTTTTCCATGGTATTCCAAAGAGCATCTGCTGGGAATTCTGCCCAGAGTGTGTTTAGATCCCTTATCACTTCTCAAGTAGCTTTAACCCTGCAGATCTTTTTGCCTGTGGAAAAGAGGGTAGTGGACTTTCAGAGTGTTGTCATTCATGCCCTGGAGAGCCTTGGCTCCTGGAAGATGCAATCCAGCCTCCCCCAGACACTGAGCAGCATCTCTACTCCCACCTCTGCCCTCCTCTCTTGGAAGCCCAGATGGATTTTGATGGAGTCCCTCAATGGGCTGCTGAGCCCCTGCCCTGGTACGGAAACCTTCATGGAAGTTTCCACTGAAATTTTCAGGAAGTTCCCAGACCCCACAGCATAACTGAGGTTTAATGAGTTACCAGACACCAAACAGCAGCAGAATGTGCTCATGCTCTCACCTCAGCCCCCAAGGGAGGTGGAACAGGCTTGCTCAGCCTCAATGGCACAAAGTCACGGGCAATGAACCCCCAGGGGAGCTCTGGAGCTCTGCCCAGCAGTGGAACCAGTTGTGCTTGGTTTATTCTTAGGCCGAGCCCCAGTGTCTCAGCCACATCCAGCCAATGATTATAGGAGCCCCGTGTGAGTTAACCCCACCAGTGATCTTCACTCAGTTTACTCATTAGCAGAATTACACTGGAAATGTGGTCAGAAGGAAGAGGAAACTCGAGGGAATTCTCAGACAAAAAACTATTGCTAAAAAAGAGGCTGTTCAAGTATGACAACCTGAACCCAGCAGACAAAAAGAGATGCTGGTAACAGGGTCCACTCACAGCCCAAAATAAAGGGATGGACCAGGTGCAAGGTCCCTTCAGGAATCCCCCTCAGAAACAAGAGGAGACAGGGCAGGGTGCTCAGCTACAACAGGAGCCCATGATTCAGATAAAAGGCAAGACCAGAGGGGGGATGACAGAGCAGTATTTCTACAGCACAGCTCAGGGAGGGAGCACGGGGCCACAGATGAGGTTAAATCATGCTCTGGAACCACAGCCAGGCTGGGGAGGGTGGTCCCAGGTGAGCCTGATCAGGGGCATTATGATTTATTGCTGCTCCCAACTCACTCTGCCACTCAAACTCTCTAGGTCAGCAAAAACTATTAGTATTGTATTAGTATCCGCAGCACTTTGTGATCCAATCCTAAGGAAATGTTTTATCCAGGAAAAACTCAACCAAACGTCCAAGGTTTGCAGATCAGAAGGATTTGGCTGGGATGAGGAGTTTATTCTTTGCAGAAGTCACAGAATAAGTAAAACAATGCATGGGGAGCCCTACCCATGAAGGAGCTGAAACGTGAAAAGAAAGGGAAAGGGCAAGTCCAGAGGAGGCCACTGAGATGACTGAAGGGATGGAGCAACTCTCCTGTAAGAAAAGGCTAAGGTAATTGGAAGTATTCAGCTTTGAAAAGAGAAGGTTTTGGGGTGACCTAATTGCACCCATCCAGTACCTGCAGGGAGCCTACAAAAAAGATGGACAGAAATAATTTGCAAGGGCCTGGAGGGACAGGACAAGGGGGAAGGGTTTAAACTGACAGAGGACAGGGTTAGATGGGATATTAGGAAAAAGATTTCTCTGTCAGGGTGGGGAGGCCCTGGCACAGGCTGCCCAGAGAAGCTGTGGCTGCCCCTGGATCCCTGGAAGTGTCCAAGGCCAGGCTGGACAGGGATGGGAGAACCTGGGATAGTGGAAGCTGTCTCTGCCCATGGCAGGGGATGAGCTTTAAGGTCCCTTCCAACCCAAACCATTCTATGACTCCACAATTATATAAGAAACATTGTCCTTAATTACCAGAAACCCAGGCCTAGAATTCAGATCAGGAGAGGAATGGCCAAGTCACAGAGGAGCCTTGCTATAGGATATGTAAATACTTTGTCACCACAGGCTGATGCCTGTTTTTAGGGACATTACCCACTTAAGAGGAAATCAGCACATTTTGATGAGGAAGTGCACGTTTGTATATATGTGCAAGCCACTTTTTTTCTGCCAAAGGACAGTTGTGCTCAAAAACTTCACCCCTGGTTTTGTTTGTTTGGACTTACTCATTTAGAGGTTTAGATTTTTGAGCAAATAAATGGAAATAGCCCTATGGACAGGCTCAGCATCCAGAATCTGAGAAATACTCCTGCAGTGAACCAGAAAGGAGGCAGAGCCAAGCAGGAGGGGTGAGCAGTGGCTTTTTGTCACTAGATGGAAGCATGGAGCCATCAAAGACCTGCCTGACACTAGAAATACAGCCCAGGAGCAGCCAGGCTGCCACTGCTCTGCCTAACACAGGTCCAGGAGTGTTTTGTGATAGTTCCCTGTGCTTGAGGAAAAGCCCAGGTTCAAGCAGGCAGCGCAGGAAGAGGAGATGTGGGATTTGTTCCCAGCTCTGGCACTCACCAGAGCGTGATTTGGGCTAAACAGCTTCACTGTCAAGCCACTGGTGTGTGAGACAGGGATGACACTGCCCATGAGGCCTTTTTCAGAGGCAGCACCATGGAAAGACTGTTTTTCCAGGACTTGGAGCATTTCTGGGATGGAGGAGCCTTGCAGGAGCCAGATGAGGGGTCCCCTCATGCCCCCTGCTCCGTCTCACAGCGGCCACCTCGCGACAGGAACGTGGCAGGTGTTGGACACCACATGGCACCTGCCAGAGGAACAGCTGAGGGGAGGATAATGTGGGATAAGGAGAGGTTTAGCAATTTTAGTGGTCTGCAACCACTGCAATCCCCTCCTTCCTCCCAGCCCTGCTGATGTATCCACCACCCCACATCAAGGGCAGCAGCCTTCCCTGCCTCCTGCTTGCCAAAGTCAGGCCTTGGCATGAGGAAAAGAGGTGGGAATGCTGCCTGTGCTCACAGTTCCTGCACCTACAAAAGGTATCCCAGGGGAAAGCCAGAATAATGGAGCTCATTCTTGGAGCATAAAATGATAAAATCATAAAATCACAGAATGGTTTGGGTTGGAAGGGACCAAAAAGCTCATCTATTCCAGCCCCCTGTCCTGGACCTCTGCTTTCCAGCTTGGCAGTATCACAGGATCACAGAATGGTTCAGGTTGGAAGGGACCTTAAATCTAATCTCGTTCCATCTCCTGCCATGGGCAGGGACACCTTCCACTATCCTAAATTGCTCCAAACTCTGTCCAGCCTGGCCTTGGACACTTCCAGGGATCCAGGGGCAGCCACAGCTTCTCTGGGCACCCTGTGCCAGGGCCTCACCACCCTTGCAGGGAAGAATTCCCTCCTCATATTTAATTTAAATCTACCACCTTTCAGTGTGAAATCATTACCCTCTCCTGGAAGGCTGGGTTACCAGTGGCCTGGAAGACTTCCACTGGCCATGCTGCTCTGTGCTGGGGTCTTACAGCTGCTCTTTCTTTCTATTAATACTTCACTTTTCCTCTATTGACACCAACTTCCTAGCAACCAAGGTCACAGAGAAGGTGTTAAGAAGCTGGGTTGATTAATAATAAATCCTGGGGTTTGATGTCTTTTTCTCTTGAGAGGCTCGTTAGACACCAGCAGGCAGGGTGCTGAGCTGGGATTTCCAAAGGAACCTAGGGGATTTGGAAAACCTTCTCTGATCAAATTTCCCTTTGAATCCCAGTCTTCCTCCTGCTGGCCCTCAGAATCCAGCTGGGTGAGGCTACTGTCCATGGGGAGGTGAGCTGAGGCAGGGCAGTGGTGTTAAACAGGGATCTGAGTACGAGAAAGCCAATACAGCTCACTCATGATCAATCCCAAATGAGAAGAAAAAGCCCCTGGCCAAGAATCCTAGAGTCACAGAATAATTTGGGTTGAAAGGGATGCTAAAGATAACCTAGATCCAGCTCCCTACCATGGGCAGGGACACTTTCCACTGTCTCTAAGCTCTAT